TGGGATACAATGGGCAGAAAAGCAGCAGACCGGCAGCAATGGAGATCACTTGTGAATGCCTTATGTGTCAACAGCGACATGAAGAGGATATAGAGAGCAGGTAAATGGGCACTGTTACAGAAATTACGAATTTTGCCAGACTATGGAATACATAATTTTGTTTTAATTAATGTGCAGTGCTGATTAGGGGTGAATATTTAAATTTGTGTAAGGTAGCGGCCTCTTCTGACCTTCTTCAACAAAATCAAACTTACTGTGGTCCTCCGTATGAGATGCAGTATTCCAATTTATTTGGGGGGAAAAAGAATAGATCCACCCCCCCCCCCCCAAATCCCCCAACAATCATGTTATCAAAACTGATTAATTAATTTGATAAAAAGTGTATCATTCAAAATCGGAGTGCATCTATTTAAAAGGCGAGAAACCAAGTTTGCACCCCCAAAACAAAATCAGATCTGTAAAATGGATGCACATGCAAAACTGACGTTCAGGAACAAGACCAAAATCCAGAAGTGGATGAACAACCAGAACTTTTCCACTGAAATTTAAAGCTGGTGAACGTTAAGAAGAAGAAAAAGGGCAGGAAAAACAATATGTTTCAAATGTTTTTACTCTGCAACCTATTGGGTCATAGAAATAAAGGCAGACCAAAAACAAACACACAGAGAAGGGAGCTAGAGAATGAAGTTAAAAAGATGCGGAGGACGTGAGGTGAGCTGTAATGATGGCAAAGAATGGGATCACTTGGTGTGAGTTGGTTGAGGGCCTATGCTCCACTGGGGGATAAACAGCAGACAAAGAGAAAGAAGAAGAAGAATAAGAGCAAGATGAAGAGAAAGAAATAGAAGTAGTAGTAGTAGTAGAAGAAGAAAAAGAAGAAGAAAAAGAAGAAGTAGAAAAAGAAGAAGAAGAAGAAGAAGAAGGCATCAAAACTGGTGTCACAAGCCTCAACACTACAGGATGTACTGGTGGAATGCATGGTTCCATGTACAGTAAGGAAGATTCTTTGGCTAATTAACTTAGCTGGAATTTTTTAAGTCAGAGTGGAAGTACTGGTAACAGAACTGTGTTGACAGACTTGATAATCAAGGTCACATAGCATGAACTAGGAGATTGACAGGAAGTACTGGTAACAGAACTGTGTTGACAGACTTGATGATCAAGGTCACATGGCATGAACTAGGAGATTGACAGGAAGTACTGGTAACAGAACTGTGTTGACAGACTTGATGATCAAGGTCACATGGCATGGACTAGGAGATTGACAGTACACAGACAGAGGGCTGGGGATACACACAATGACAAATTCCCCACGATATGGATTATGAGGAAAAGATGTTATGACATTATGAAAATGTGCTCTTAGTTTGAATTAATGAATTAACCATAGAGAAACCTTAGTATGTTGAATAGTTAGACATCACAGGAGCTTTATGAAAGTAAAAAATGCAGTATAGCCAGTCATACATGAATTGTTAATTGGCACATATAGAAAATAGCCAATCACATACCACATGCTAATTAGAGAATAGCCAATAACACACATCATGTTAATTAGCACATATGGGGAAAAGCCAGTCATGCATGACTGCTTATTAGCACACAAAGAAATTATCAAACACCACATGACATGTTAATTTGCACATATAGAGAATAGCCACTCCCAAATGACATGTTAATTAGCAAACAAGGAGAACAGCCAAACACAAATGACATGTCAACAGCCAATGAATAACACATGCTATGTTAAATAAATAGCACACACAGAGAGAATAGCCAATCAAATAAAAGTAAGTGAGTAAAGGATCCTTTTCCACTCCTTCAGGTGTACTGAGCATACAGCCAATCACATACATGTTAATAAGTACACATAAGGAATAGCCAATCAGACATGACACACTTATTGGTGCAACAATGAAAAAACAAATAACAGCCAATCAAAAATAACACACTTATTGGTGCAACAATGAAAAAAACCTCAGCCAATCACACATGACACACTTATTGGTGCAACAATAAAAAAAACAAAAAACCCCAGCCAATCCCACATGACCTACTTATTGGTGCAAAAAAAAAAAAAAAACCGTCAGCCAATCAAACATGACACACTTATTGGTGCAACAATAAAAGAAAAAACCCCCAGCCAATCACACATGACACACTTATTAGTGCAACAATGAAAAAAAACCTCAGCCAATCACACATGACACACTTATTGGTACAACAATGAAAAAACAAACCCCAGCCAATCACAAATGACACACTTATTGGTGCAACAATAAAAAAAACCTCAGCCAATCACAAATGACACACTTATTGGTACAACAATGAAAAAACAAACCCCAGCCAATCACAAATGACACACTTATTGGTGCAACAATAAAAAAAACCTCAGCCAATCACAAATGACACACTTATTGGTGCAACAATAAAAAAAACCTCAGCCAATCACAAATGACACACTTATTGGTACAACAATGAAAAAACAAACCCCAGCCAATCACAAATGACACACTTATTGGTGCAACAATAAAAAAAAACCTCAGCCAATCACAAATGACACACTTATTGGTACAACAATAAAAAAAACAAACCCCAGCCAATCACACATGACACACTTATTGGTGCAACAATGAAAAAAAAAATACCAGCCAATCACAAATGGCATGTTTATTGGTACAAAACATTCTCAGTGTCATTACTGCCCTCATTACTCAGTTAACATACTCAACACAAAACACTGGCTGTGCAATTACTGCCCGCTTAGTTAATAATTCATTCACAAAACAATCTTCCTGTTACTATTGTCATTTCCCCGTGTGGGTTCCGGGGCCCTGTTATAGGGAAAACAAGAATAGACCCACTGCCTACCCAAAAGCATGTCGTAAGAGTCGACTAATTCGAAGCTTCCTTCAAAGTCAGAGTGCATCTGCCTGAGAGGTAAGGAACCAACAGTCTGCATACAAATGAGTCAGATCTGTAAAACGGATGCACATGCAACACTCAAGTTCTGGAACAGGACTGCAGTCCAGTAGTGGATGAACAACCAGAACTTTCTGCCAGAGTTAACAGCTGGTGAACACGAAGAAGAAGAAAAAGACTACTGTCATTTTAGTTAACATTTAAATGACAAGACAATCAGTAGACAATCATAAGACATTTGATGTGTCATGGAACTTTGCTCAGAGAACTCGTCTATAGTTACATCTCCATCTGTCTGCTCTATGTATGAGGTCGGCCTGTGCTTGTATGGTATGTCTGCTGTGTTTCACAACAATGTATTATATATGGGATGTTTCCCCTATGATTATATGTGAAGTTTCTCCAATGTCTGTATTATTTATGTGAAGTTTTTCTAATGTTTGTATTATTTATGTGAAGTTTTTCTAATGTTTGTATTATTTATGTGACGTTTTTCTAATGTTTGTATTATTTATGTGAAGTTTTTCTAATGTTTGTATTATTTATGTGAAGTTGTTTTTCTAATGTTTGTATTATTTATGTGAAGTTTTTCTAATGTTTGTATTATATATGTGATGTTTCTCCAATGTTTGTATTATTTATGTGAAGTTTCTCTAATGTTTGTTTGATATATATGATGTTTCTTCAATGATTGTATTATTTATGTGAAGTTTCTAAAATGTTTGTATTATTTATGTGAAATTTCTTCAATGAGGCACTATTTATGTGAAGTTTCTTCAATGTTTGAATTATTTATGTGAAGTTTCTCCAATGTTTGAATTATTTATGTGAAGTTTCTCCAATGTTTGTATTATATATGTGATGTTTCTCCAATGTTTGTATTATTTATGTGAAGTTTCTCTAATGTTTGTTTTATATATATGATGTTTCTTCAATGATTGTATTATTTATGTGAAGTTTCTAAAATGTTTGTATTATTTATGTGAAATGTCTTCAATGAGGCACGATTTATGTGAAGTTTCTTCAATGTTTGAATTATTTATGTGAAGTTTCTCCAATGTTTGAATTATTTATGTGATGTTTCTCCAACGTTTGTTGTATTATTTATGTGAAGTTTCGTCAATGATTGTATTATTTATGTGAGGTTTCTCCAATGTTTGTATTATTTATGTTAAGTTTCTCCAATATTTGAATTATTTATGTGAAGTTTCTCTAATGTTTGTATTAAATATGTAATGTTTCTTTAATGATTGTATTATTTATGTGAAGTTTCTCCAATTTTTGCATTATGTGTGAAGTTTCTCCAATGTTTGTATTATTTGTGTGAAGTTTCTCCAATGTTTGAATTATTTATGTGAAGTTTCTGTAATGTTTGTATTATTTATGCTAAGTTTCTCTAATGTTTGTATTATATATGTGATGTTTCTTCAATGATTGTATTATTTATGTGAAGTTTCTCCAATGTTTGTATTATTTATGTGATGTTTCTTCGTTTGTATTATTTACTTGATGTTTCTCCAATGTTTTTATGATTTATGTGAAGTTTCTTCAATGTCTGTATTATTTATGTGAAGTTTCTCCAATTTTTGTATTATATATGTGCTGTTGTTCCTATGTTTATATTAAACAAAAAAATTTGTTGTTTCTCTTTAGTTTGTATAATATATGTAATGTTCCCCTATGATTCTATTATATATGTGATGTTTTTCTTATGTTTATATTACATATGTAATACCTCTACTATATCTGTGTTATACGTGTAATGTGTCTTCAATTTCTGTGTTACACATCTGACATTTCTTCAATGTCTTATTGTATATGTGGTGTTTCTCCTATGACTCTATTTTAAAACTGATGTTTTCTTTGTTCATATTATTTATGTGATGTTTTCCGTATGTTTATATTATATATATGATGTTTCCTTGTTTGTTTATATCACCTATGTGATGTTTTTCCAATTTGTATATTGTAAATGTGACACTTTTCTCTATGTTCCACTTAATATGTGACCTTCAAGCCAAAAAAAAAAAAGAAAAGAATCATAACCCCGTAGAAATATGCAGCTATATAAAGGGAGATCACAACTTGGCTTGGGGTAACTTTGTCGGCGGAGTTACGGCCTCTCTCCAGTAGGTGGCTCTCTCCAGTGCCTTGCTGCCTTGCATCATGGCTCCGTACAAGTTCTTGTAAATCTGATTACACAAGATTACCATTAAGTTATGAATCAGACTAAAGGGGGAGTCGCTGTGGCAGAGCAGCTAGACGCTCGCCTCGGACCGGAAGGTTGTGGGTTTGCGCCCTGGCGGAGCCAGACTTTTTTCAAAAAGTGACCGTGGCTCCCAGGTCTACCCAGCCTTGAGTGGGTACCGGCTGCAGTCCCGGGAAGTAAAGGCGGCCGGTGCGATGCTGACTACATCACCCATCTTGTGCCGATTGGTCTATAAAAATATAGGTCTAGCCCTATATGCCCAATACTCCTAAAGACATGGAAAAGGGTCCTTTACTTTAAAAAAAAAAATTTTTTTTAGACTCAAGGGCCCCCTTGTCTATACCGTTCTAAAAGTGGTCAAACAGTTTATTAATGTCTTTTTTGTATCTGCCCTTACATGGGTAGCTGGAACATTGTGCTGCAGTTTACAGCTAGGTTGTACCTTTCATAAGAACAAGAATCGCCATGGCAAAGGTGGCCTTTAGCAAGACGTGAAAGATTCTCACCAACAAGATGTCATTTGCAGCGAGAAAAAGAGTGTTAAAGTATTATCTAGATAGAACCTGTGATGTTAGATGCATGCGAAACATGGACAATAATTAGACATGCTGAAAACCATTGACTCGCAGCAGAGATGTGGTTAATGAGAAGAATGCAAAGAATATCATGGAAGGAAAGAAAAACATATGAATAGAAATCAGAGACAGATGAAAGTCGTTTAACTTATTAAAACAACTGGATGTAGACAGTCAATATTTTGTGCACATATTATGAGAAGAAATTGACTTAAGAACTTCGTAACAACCAGCAAGATTGATGGAAGGAGAGCAGAGGAAGGCAAAGAGATAAATACCTGGATGGTCTGGCAAGACAGATGGGGCGAGTCAAAAACATTGAACTGATTTATGGTTCTGGTGATTTTGTGAGATGGCGAAACATGATGTTAATGATGTGAATTTTGGGCCAACCAGGGATAGATTTAGACCTGTTGAGGCCCCAAGCTATATATATATATATACAGCCCTGAGGCCCCTATTGGTTTTAAATACAGCAGCTAATCTCAGAAAACTGTGAAATATATATACCTTGTAAACATATGGTGTCAAAGATGTGCCAAAGCTAATCAAGTTATGGGGCACCCTATCTACCCTGTTGACACACAAGCAGATACTCCGGAGTACTAAAGTGAATCTTATCAGAACTTTTTTTTGGCCAACACTATGCTATCAGTGCCAAACGTGGACACTCACATCCTCCAATGAACGTAAAATTGTGACAACAGAGATGAAATGCCTTAGAAGAGCTGCAGGAGTTTCAAGGAAAAACAGAATATGAAATCAGACGAATGCTAGGAATAAAGCCAGTCTTAAAGGTAATCAAAGAACAACAAATGAAGTGGTTTGGACACCTAACAGAAATGCCCTGGTACTATCTGCCACAGCGAGCCACACTAAAACTTTACAATGGGTATCGAGCGAGTCGAAGACCTCAGAAAATATGGAGTGATGGCATTAAGAACCGCCTTACAGAAATGAACATAGTCTTAATAGTGCTCTTGACAGAGCTCACCAACGAGTGTTACATCTCCCCTCGACACTTCGATGAGGTACAAGGTGGAAGAGAAGATGAAGAAGTAAACATTTGGAAGATGGAAATATAATGTCGTAACATTTTTAGTAAAAGAAATAATAAATGGGCAAAATCACTAAAATTATATAATACCATCTTCTTATAGGCTCTATTAAAAGAACATTGCATTTGTGAACAAAAACATTAAGAATCTGCTGAGGCCCCAGCAGATTATGAGGCACTAAGCTGCTGCTTGGTTAGCTTATGCCGAGATCCAGCATTGGGGGCTGACACATCTGACTTCAGCAAAACCCTAATTAGTTACCTTTTACAACATAATGAGGAGCAGTAGGTCTGTTATTTTCTACCACCAAAAAAAAAAGCATCCACTGAATGTTCTCTCCAGGTGATGCTGGTGTACTGGAAAATGAGCAGGCAGATAGACTGACTGGTTCTGCACCACTTAGTGGTGAATTGATATATGACAAGCTAGATATTGTGAGAGCCTTTTAAGAGCGATAGAACAGTGCAGAGGCACAAACAGTTCATTATGGTCTGAGGAGAATGGCACTGCAGAGAGTTACCAGGGAATATGGCGACGGTGAACACTCAAAGGAAAAGGCAAGACGGAAATACAATCAGACGGTTACAGGTACCATCAGTACTAGAACTCTTCGCCTGCTGCTGAAGATTGAGACCAAGCACTTATTGGGGTGTCCTGAGTACTCAGATGTTGATTCTTAATTCAACATTCCCCAACATGGGCTCCGGAAACTACTGGGAGATGACGATCAAGTAATCCTCTTTTCTATTGCTAATTCAAGTGACGCTACTGAAATAATTCTACATTTTACTCTTTATTTAAATTTATGCTTATAAAACAATGCTATATTTTACTCCTAAATAATCAGCAACTAATATAAAATACAAAAACAATATAATAATAATAAAGAGATAAAGAAAATGAAGCAGGATGGAATGAGAAGAACATAAAGGAGGAGGAAGAGGAAGAAGAAGAGGAGGAAGAAGAAAAGGAGGAAGAAGAAAAGAAGGAAGAAGAAGAAAGTAAAAGGGGAACAAGTAGAGGATGAGGATGTGAAAGAAGATGAGAGGAGAAAAAAGAATAAGAAAGGAGATGAATAATAATAATAAGATGATGATGATGAAGAAGAAGACGAATGCGGCACAGTAGCAAAATAAAACAGAAGAAACCCATCTACTGACCTGCCCGTCTGAACTTCCAATGGGAGAGTTCAAGATGAAGTCTGGGGGAGCTACAGCGTCCACAAGTGACACAGCATCAGGCTTAATTTCCTGGCAAAGTTGCAAGATGGCTTCTTTGATGAACCAAGGTGGGTCACCACCCACTATGTACCCGCCTGCAAGGACACAAGGAAACCCATGATGAATACACAGTGCTGCAGTTTGTACAGACTTTGAATAAAAAATAACTGGGAAAGCATTATCAGCCTGCGACAGCATCCGTGGCTTGGGTGTTGCGAATCCGACTCATAATTCCAACGTAACGCGATCGAAACCCACTGCTAGCTGCGTGGATTTTTATCAAGGTATGGGGCGTAGCAGGTCGACCCAGCCTAAAATGGATACCAGGATGTATGTCCTTGAAAAGTAAAGACGGTCTATGTAATGCTGACCACATTACTCACCTAGTGCTGAATGGTCTGTACAAAATATGGGATGCTCTTCCCATATACCCAATGCGTGAAAAGGGATCCTTACTTCACATTACCAGCCTTAGCCTAATACTATTTAGCCTACATATCATTATCATAATCGTCATCATCTTCCCCTTTTGCCTTTAATCCTATCAGAAGAGAAACTAGATTATTATGGGCTGGAGAGAATGATGCACCTGGGTGTGACCAGAGAGTTCGGCTAAGTATTGGAACTTGGTGCTGGCTGCTAAGGATTGAGACAAATCGCATATGGGAATTCCCAGAGTGCTATGATGTCAATTCTTGACTCAACTTCAATCCTATTGCCCCCATAAACATGTAAAAAGGGTTTATGAACTCAGGAATTACTGAAAAATTACTTCAAATAATAATAAATTGTTTAAACAATTTAAAAAACACATCAGATAAAAAATTAAATTTTTCAACTTTTCCTCTACTCGCGTGGTCAACCTTTAGCTCTGCATTTATTATGTCTAATGACAGGGTTCTCTGTGCTGCTCCATCTACTGCTAGTTTTGATACATGTCCAAACCATTTGATTTGTTGTCTCCGAATAACCGTCCCAAATTATCGAGGCCGAAAATATACCCTAACAGAGCCTCAGTCACGTGTCAATTGCGAACTTCCGGCGACTTAAATTGCGCACTACCGGCGAATTCCGCCACCGCTGAGAGTATCCCCCTACGCCGCTCGTGCGGCGCGGATTAGGGCTAAACTAAATGGCTGGGAGTCACGAGCAGCAGCTACTGCATCTCCTGCAGCTTCCTTCATTTTATTTGCTTGTGTGTTCCAGCCATCTAGTTTAGTCCCAATCCACGTCGCATGAGCAGCTTGGGGGATACTCTCGGCGGTGGCGGTATAGTCCCCGGAAGTTTGCAATTCGGGGGTGGCAGTATAGTCCTCGGAAGTGCGCAACTGACACGTGACTGACGCTCTGTTAGGGTATATTTTCCGCATCGATAATTTGGGACCGTTATTCGGAAGACAGACCTGTTGTCTTATAATGTAGTTTTATACTGGTTCCTTCCTACTTCTTTCCTGATATCCTCCTTTCTGATCCTGTCTCTTTAAGTTACATTTAGGATTTGTTGTCGACATTTCTAAAGCATGAGTCAATGTAAAAGATCATTTACTTATTTCCTGTAAATAACTAATATAAAGGGAGTCACCGTGGCCGAGCGGCTAGATGCTCACCGCGGATCGGAAGGTCGTGGGTTGGCTCCCTGGCAAAAGCCGGACTTTTTTCAAAAATGATCTTGGCTCCCAGGTCGACCCAGCCTTGAGTGGCTACCGGGTGTAGTCCCGGGAAAGTGAAGGCGGCCGGCCTGATACTGACCACATCACCCATCTTGTGCCGATTGGTCTATAAAAATTAGGGTCTTGCCCTATATGCCCTATACGCCTTAGGGCGTGGAAAAGGGTCTTTTACTTTTTTTTCTAACTAATATAAAATATAAATAATAATAATAATACTAACGAGATAAAGAAAAGAAGCTGGATGGAATGAGAAGAACACAAAGGAGGAGGAGGAGGAAGAAGAAGAGGAGGAAAAAGAAAGAAAAAGGAGAAGAAGTTAGAAGATGAGGATGTGGAAGAAGATAAAAACAAGAAGAATGGAGATTAGTAATAATAGTAATAAGAAGAAGATAAGGAAGAAGAAGACGACGACGAATACGGCACAGTAGCAAAATAAAACAGAAGAAACCCATCTACTGACCTGCCCGTCTGAACTCCCAATGGGAGAGTTCAAGATGAAGTCTGGGGGAGCTACAGCATCCACAAGTGACACATTTTAAAACAACATACTAGTACACATGAAATCACTCGCCCCTTGACCTCATGCACTGACCTTGATACAATGTTGCTATATGCTTTTCAATACTCCACAAGCCGAAGAGTGCACACAGTTTGTTTAAGACAGGTCGGAGTTTTTCTGGAGTTGGCTCATCGTTCTTTTCTCGTGTGGCTTTCACAAACCGTTCCAGAACGTCATGCTGTCAATTTAAATAAGAAAAATGGCTGTATTGTTGAATGTGCTCCAACTTGCTGACCTATGTGTGACAGTATCTAACTGAACACAACACAAACTATGGTAAGAAAGATCAAAAGATGAAAATAAATTATATGAACAAAAGAGAAATCCTTACCTGTTTTATTGTGTGTATATTTTATTTTTCCCCTTAACAAATTATCTGAAGAATTATCATGACATCCCTAATCTAAGCTTGGAAAGTCCTCTCTGAAGCCTCATGTGCCACTAGACAAAAAGAGAATTGATGATGACTAATGTAAGCTTGGAAAGTCCTCTCTGAAGCCTCATGTGCCACTAGACAAAAAGAGAATTGATGATGACTAATGTAAGCTACTTGGAGTAGGGTTCTAATCACACTGGACCAGGAATGCAATGACTTGTGGGCACTGAAGAACCGGAAGTTCAGCAACTGAATCACGGCAGTTCCGGCCCAGGTGATGTGATTATCTATACCGTTGGTTTTGTGTTGAGAGGCAGAAGAAATGCATGGGGGTTCACAGCGAACGCAAACAGACGTCAGTTAGTGCAACAAAACCTAGGATATGATACCATAACATCTAGTTTGAGAATGGAGGTGGAGAGTGTCACTGCAGCTCTCTATTAGCTTCAGATTCAGAACCAACTGCACAAATGTATTACGATTTTAACTGACTCACAAAGCATACACAGAAAGATGGAGACAGGGATACTTGATGCAGAGTGACAATCATCACTTCAGAGGTCCCAGGCTGTTAGCCTTGGATATTTTTCTCCAGGCATGCCGGTGTGTTGGGAAATGAACAAACACACACATTGGCTGTTCTGTCTCATTTGGTGGTAAACTGATGTAAGACAAACTAGATATTGTCAAGACCCTTTGGGAAAGGAGTGACCTTTGTGAAGGCAGGAACAGAGAGAAGATGGCAGACAGTTTGATATCTAAGGCATGGAGGATCAGCTGTGTCAAAAGTGGCCACAATTTAACAAGATAGAAGGCAGGGGATAGACATGACTACCAAGGCCACAGGCTATTAAAAAAAAAACAGGAAACAGAAGGCTGTGGATAGCCATGACTACCAACGACAGACAGCACGGACAATGATAATAAAAAGAAGACAGGAGACAGAAGGTTGTGGATAGACATGACTATGAATGCCACACAGAATGGACTATAGGAAGAAAAAAGGCAGGCGACAGCAGGTTGTGAATAGATAAGTCTACAATTGCCACACAGCATGAACTATAAGAAGAGGATCATTACATAAATAAAAGTATGTGTCAGAGAGGTCATTACATCATGATCTCAAAATAAACAAGCAGCAGAGAGGTCATTACATCATGATCTCAAAATAAACAAGCAGTAGAGAGGTCATTACATCATGATCTCAAAATAAACAAAGCAGTAGAGAGGTGAGAGGTCATTACATCATGATCTCAAAATAAACAAGCAGTAGAGAGGTCATTACATCATGATCTCAAAATAAACAAGCAGTAGAGAGGTCATTACATCATGATCTCAAAATAAACAAGCAGCAGAGACTATCATCAAACTATTACCTCGATGTAAGCTAGTGCCAGCGACCGACAGTAATAAGCTTGACTGTCATTCCGCGCAGTGAAGGAATCTTTTCCCGCCTGCGTCTGCTCAGTGAGCCGTCGATTGCTCTCCACCAGCAGATAGCAGACCAGCCATTTGTAAGCTTCTAGGGTCACTGCAATAGTTGCCAGTTAGGATGAAACATACTGCAGGCACACAAAAAGGTCATACATGATACTGACTCTGGGGAACTATTAGGGCTGTATACTAGGTCACGGGTTCCCAACCCATGAGTCGCAACCCCAAATGGGGTCACAAAGAGTTTTCTGTGAGGTAGTAGTGAGGTAAAACAACTTTGAAAAAAGGAGAACAAAAATTAAAAGCTGAAAAGAACGAGCTTAGCATTAATGAAAACTTAACTAAAGTTGTAAGCTTGATAATGAGTTACATTTTCAATCATCACTTTCAATATTTGGTTAAGTTAACATTATTTTGAATTTATTAAAATTAAAAAAATCAATTTCTGATGCGTCTTTATTCAGCCCTTTAAGAGGCCTGTTTTCCATTTTCTTCTTTATGTTCACCGGCTGTAAACTCTGGCAGAAAATTCTTGTTGTTTATACCTCTCTTGATCTTAGTATTGTTTGAGAATCTGCGTGTTGTGTGCACATCCATTTTACAGATCTGACTTATTTAAATGTAGACTGTTGGTTCCCTGCCTCTCAGGCAGATGGGCTCCCAGATTGAAGAAAGCCCCCAATCAGTCGACTCTTATGACATGCTGTAGGGGAAGCAGTGGGCCTGTTCTTATTTTAGCCATAACAGGGCCCAGGAACCCACACATTAGGGAGCCTATTTTTAATGTATCGGGTTGCGGGTCACTTTGCCTCGATAAAATAGGGGTTGCAATTAGAATAAAACTGCACTAGGTGTTTGGCTCCAAGGTTTAAAGGTCAGTGAATGCTTTTTTACAATTTCATTAGCCTCGAATACTAGAGCTTGCTTACCTTGGTGGATGCTGTATTAAAAAAAAAAACAACTAACAAAAACCCAACAACAGTTATTGTGGTTTTTAAACAGCATTATACGATCGATCTATGACTCCCGTATGCAGTCATTGATTTTACACCATCGGCTCAACATATGCATGACTATTCACTAAGAAACTACCAATAAGTTGTGGAATTATTTACTTCAGTTTTAAACTATTCTGAAGTATTTTAACTTAACAGACTATACAACAAATAAAACTAATGTGCATGTTAGGGAACTAACACAGCAATAGTCAGTTAGTTAGTTCCCCATGTGGGTTCTGAGGGCCCTGTTATAGGGAAAACAAGAATAGACCTACTGCCTACCCAAATGCATCTTGTATGAGTCGACTAACTGGGAGCTTCCTTTAAAGCCAGAGTACATCTGCCTAAGAGGCAAGGAACCAGCAGTTTGCATACAAATGAGTCAGATCTGTAAAAAAAGGGATGCACACGCAACACTCAGGTTCTGGAACAGGACTGCAGTCCAAAAGTAGATGAACAACCAGAACTTTCCGCCAGAGTTTACAGCTGGTGAACATGAAGGAGAAGAAGAAGACGTTAGTTAGTTAGTCAGCTGATAGATTTTCCTCATTGCACATCAAACCATTCAGTTCACAGAACTAACAGAGCAATGATGTGCAGTTAAAGACGAAACTTTGATATGTGAGCTGTGTGGATTTCACATGTGTATCTTTAGCATACTGTAAGGCAACAAACAGCAGCCGTGAAAAGGCACTTGGGCTCTCCTTTGAATAACGGTCCCAAATGATCTACTCAGAAAGTGAACCCGAACAGAGCCTCACTCATATCTAAAATTTGCATTTCTTTTTGCAGCGAATCAACCGTGTCAAAAGTAGGATTAATTGCGCACGACATTTTCGCGAAATGCAACGGATTTTTTTACGGCGATTACACGGCGGCAAAACTAGGATTAACTACGGACGAAAAAAATTAGCGACACACGAGAATACTCCGGTTAGCGTTATCCTACGGCAGGGCCCGAGTTATATGTAAGTTGCTGACCGCTTTTCGGCGACTATAGTGCCACCTCCAAGAGTATCCCCCGCACCGCTACGCGCGGCGCAGAAGGGGCTAAACTAGATGGCTAGGACTTACAAGCAGCAGCTACCACAGCTCCTGCAGCTTCCTCCAATGTATTTGCTCGTGAGTCCCAGCCATCTAGTTTAGCGCCGCAGGGATACTCTCGGAGGTGGCACTATACTCGCCGGAAAAAAAGTCTACAATTTACAGGAGCTACTTCTTCTGTCGGAAGTACCAGCGTGCTCGCATTCGCCACAGTCAAGTGGTGGTCGGGATAGTGGAACGCCATCGTGGCGGCTGCTGGTCTGAAGTTGTCCCGAGGCAACATGCGCGTACATTAAACCGTGCATTTACATCATGTCTCGCCCGTGCTGAGTTACAATGGCGGACAGCGAGATAGAACAGATATTTGTGCACTATTTGCAACTTCTGTGCTACAGTTTTCACATATAAAGGATTTAATTTTCGGTAAGTTGTAGACTTTTCCTTACACTTTTCGTTCCTAATTATTTTCTGAGTTACAGCTTTTAAATGTTTGTAGGGCAGGACGTAATGAGGCTCTGTTAGGGTTAACTTTCTGCATAGATCATTTGGGACCGTTATTCAAAGGAGAGCTGGTATTTGGGTGAAAATTAAACTTTGGCAAACTTTTGTGACAATGGCATAATTGCAACTAATTATGTGCTCACACGTATATTGTACAAATGTTTTCTCACCTGTGGGATCTAGGCATTCTGCGATACTGCCAGCTGTAAACTTGGACTGAAGCCTTCTGGGTAAATCAGACAGGAAGTTCACAGACCCCAAGGGAGTTTTTATTGATCTACCTGGAAGTAAAAAACTGGATTGAATGAGTGAAACAAAAATTGTTCTTGATGAACTGCAGCACACAGGTCGACCTGGCTGATGTGACGGTCAAGCTCAAGATTTCTAGCTCAAAATTCTGAGTTTTATGCCTATAATATAATGCATTTTGTCTTCTTCTTATAGACCATGGTTTGTGGTGTTGGCAGTCAAATCTATCTACAACCTTCTGTCTTGTGTACTTTCAATCAACTCTGACACAGATGATCCTTAATAGTCCATGCCGTGTGGTGTTGGCAGTCAAATCTATCTACAACTCTGACACAGATGTTCCTCCATGCTGAGTGGTGTTGGTAGTGATGTCTATCCACAACCTTCTGTCTTGAGTACTTTCAATCAACTCTGACACAGATGATCCTCCATGCTGAGTGGTGTTGGTAGTGATGTCTATCCACAGCCTTCTGTCTTGTGCGCTTTCAATCAACTCTGACACAGATGGTCTTCAATAGTCCATGCTGTGTGGTGTTGGCAGTCAAATCTATCCACAACCTTCTGTCTTGTGTACTTTCAAGCAACTCTCACAGATGATCTTCCATGCCATGTGGTGTTGGTAGTCATGTCTATCCACAACCTTCTGTCTTGTGTACTTTCAAGCAACTCTCACAGATGATCCTCCAAGCTGAGTGGTGTTGGTAGTGATGTCTATCCACAACCTTCTGTCTTGTGCGCTTTCAATCAACTCTGACACAGATGATCTTCTGCACCATCAACAAAACCCTTGTACTCCTCTCCAACTTCTGCACCTGATTCTTCTTCTTATGCCAACTGTCAATTACTGCCTTTATTTTACCACTTTTGAATAGTAGGTAGGGAAGGGGGGGGGGGGCCTTTGAGCCTGAGGATTTACAGCCGCATTCTCGTATTATAATTCTCATTAATAATAAAAAATTATATGACTTATTAAACCAACTGTCCCATGTTTTCCTCAATCTGTTGCACCATGAATTTTTGGTAAAGGCATAAAAACAGAGTTCAAAATGTAATCAGGTATACATTCACTGTCATAAATATCACTGAACGATTTTGACAACACTTTTACACCCAGTTCACCAGCATCTTGTCATTCTTCAACCCTGATGTTACCTGGCACTGGAGTCTGATATTTCTTTATGTGGTGTAAAATGTTTTCTACTTCTGCATTCAATTAGTAAAAAAAAAAAAAAAGTAAAGGACCCTTTTCCATGCCTTTAGGCGTACAGGGCATATAGGGCTAGACCTATATTTTATAGACTAGCGGCACAAGATGGGTGATGTGGTTAGCATCATGCCGGCCGCCTCCACTTCCCGGGAATGCACCCGGTACCCACTCAAGGCTGGGTCGACCTGGGCGCCAAGGTCATTTTTAAATAGAAGTCTGGCTGCGCCAGGGAGCGAACCCACGACCTTCCGATCCGCGGCGCGTGTCTAGCCGCTCTGCCACGGCGATTCCAATTCAATTGGTGGTCCTTCTTTTTATTACATATTTCATACACCCACACCCCCCCTTCCCAAAGTCAGTCCATAGTTTTGGACTGATTTAGTTTAAGCTTGCTCGTTAGAAGACTGTTGCAACTACCAACTACTAAAACTAAGAAGACCTGATGTTAAAGCAAGAGGCTGCCCAAGGAGAAAATGGAATGATGAAATTAAGGACATTTTAAATCATTAGTTTTCAACTTGTTTCAGATGTCCCTCACCCCCAATATATGGCAAGACCCACTCATGCCCTCGGCTAACTAAAAAGTCATTAAAAAGTGGGAGATAAAAATAGAAATTCTAAGCACTATCAACACAAACAAGAGAAAAACTACGACAAAATTCAAAGAATCAAATAATGTAAAAGAAAAAAAATCATCAACAACTGGCAATTTAGTGTCTACATATTAATGTGATGGTCGACACTGTTTTGTCTTGATGATATCTGTTGTTTTTAGTTTCATGTTGGACAAGGCACACAAGAGATCACTGTCCACATAAAGCTAACGAAAACAAAAATGTGGCTTTTTGTTTTACAAATTGTTGAAAAATATTTTTTTATGAAATTGAAAAATAAATGTTTGTATAACAGGTTATTGCAAGTACCCATGCACTCAATTTCAAAATTGACTGACGCCCCCTTGACCCTTCCTTGGTAAAAACTACTGTTCTAAATCCTAACAAAGTGACTACAGCCAACGCCACCTATCATTTGAATAAAGAAGACCAACTTATTCACCAGAAAGAGTACACAGATCACCCTTACATCTCCTGATCACTTCAGTGAAGTAACTGGAGGACAGGAATAAGAAGATGAAGAAGACCCATCAGGCAATGGATCACAAACCTCTTTTCTCCATGACATTCAACCCTTCTGCTACAAAAGGCAGTAAAATTGACACTTCTGGTTGGGTTAAATTCCGTGTAAACATCTCTTTTCCTACTTGTCAATAGTGACCTGTTTATGAGATACACTTTCCCGTAAGTCTCAGCGATGATACATTTTCCCATAAGCCTCACTGATTGAGGTCAGGGCGTGAGTCACCACACATACATATGTTTTTTTTTAGGTCTCGGAGAATGTATTCCACATAATGCTTCACCCTTTTCTTGTTTATTGATTACTCCCTCCATATGTCTTAATACATAAAAAAAAAAAAAATTTATAGTTGTGGATACATTTTTAGTGAATTTAATAGTGAAGTGTAACACTTACCACACAAAAAAAGTGTTTTCCTAGAATTTCAATAGGGTCATGACCCTGTTTAGTGTTCTCAGGATGATAGGGTTGAAGGCAAGAGGAAAATGATGATGATGATGATAATAATGTTAGCAATAATACAACAACAAAAAGACACCCGACCTGAAGTGGCATCCTCAAGAAATGACAACAGATATAGGCTGGTCTGTTGTAGTATGACATTGTTGTCTCCCTCAAACGTGTTGTTTGGGTCATGGTCGTTTCGGATCTCCCCTAACCGGTTCACTGAAAATTCACAAAATAAAAAAATAAATAAAAAAACCCATTGATAATTTTAATTCACATAGAAACTGATTAATTATAAATTCACATACAAAACTGGTTATTAGAAGTTCACATACGAAATTGGTGATTATAAATTCACATATGAAACTGGTTATTATAAATTGACACATAGAACAGTTTAATGACAAATTCACAAACAAAACTGGTCAATGACAAATTCACATACAAAACTGGTCAATGACATATTCACATACAAAACTGGTTAATGACATATTCACATATAAAACTGGTTAATGACATATTCACATACAAAACTGGTTAATGACATATTCACATATAAAACTGGTTAATGACAAATTCACAAACAAAACCAGTTAATGACATATTCACATACAAAACTGGTTAATGACATATTCACATACAAAACTGGTTAATGACATATTCACATACAAAACTGGTTAATGACATATTCACATATTAAACTATAGAGTAAATAAGACCAATATGTTGAGAAAACTTCATAACCAGAATGTTCTTGTCTCATGTGTGATTTCTCAGGCCCCATTGGGAGGGGGGAGGGGGGGGGAAGAAAAAACCCACTGCTACCATCACCGCTCCCCCCCCCCCCCCCCCAAAAAAGTGTGTTGTAAAATAAAATTCACTAGTGGTGAGTCCGTCAAAGTTAAAGCTCCTATGCCTGAGAGGTGAGGAACAATAGTCTGAGTTCTAACAAACCAGGCCTGTAAAGCAGATGTGCATGCACAACCCCAGTTCCGGAACAAGACCACAATCAAGAAGTGGACAAACAACCAAAACTTTCTGTCAGGCCTGTGAACATGAAGAAGTAGAAGAAGAAGAAGATTGTCCTTCCACTGGAGCTTACAGGGTTAAAGGAATAAATGCACACACACAAAAAAGTTCAGAATGTGAGAATCAGGAATGAGGTGAAAAAGATGGGGGGTGGGGGGGGGGGGGGGGGGGGATGGACATCGGACAAACTGATCATGTGGGCAAAGGTTAGCATGCGTCTGTGAGAGAGACAGAGGGATCTAGACAGGAAAAGAGGGTACAGGAGCAGAAATTTGAAGAAAGGAGTAAGAGTATTGTGACAAAGAAAGACATGCATGCGTCTAAGGGGGAGAGAAAGTGTGAGTGTGTCAAAGGGGGAAAGGGCAGTGTGAGTGTGTGTCAAAGGGGGAAGGGGAGTGTGAGTGTGTGTCAAAGGGGGAAGGGGAGTGTGTGTGTGTGTGTGTGTCAAAGAGGGAAGGGGAGTGTGTGTGTGTGTGTGTGTGAAAGGGGGAAGGGGAGTATGTGTTTCTGAAGTTTCAGAGGGGGAAGGGGAGTGTGTTGTGTGTCAAAGAGAAAGAGTAGTGTGTCAAAGGGGGAAGGGGAGTGTGTGTGTGTGTGTCAAAGGGGGGAAGGGGAGTGTGTGTGTCAAAGAGAAAGTGTGAGTGTGTCAAAGGGGGAAAGGGAGTGGGTGTGTCTAAGAAGTAGAGTGTGTCTAAGTGACAGAAAGTATGTGGTTGTATCCAAAGGAGAAAGTGTGTGAGTGTCTAAGAAAGAGTTTATTTATAGGAAAACAAAAGTTGGTGACAGAGAGATAACAACAGTGAAAGAGAGAACAAAGAAATATGCAGCTGAAAAGAAAGTAAATGAAAGACAGGGAGAGACGGCGAGGGAGAGATAGAGATAATGAAAGAAACAGAGAATGAGACAGAATAAAAGAAAGGTGGCTCACGTGATGTTCACTAAATCACCCATCAAGTGCCATTCAGTCTATAAAATTTAGGTCTAGCCCTATATACACAAGAAAAGGGTCCTTTACTTTATCTTTTTTTAAAAACTATTAATTATAAATTAGAACACGAAGATCAACGAGACAGGAATTTTATTTAGATTAGAATATTTGTTTCATTCTTGGTTGCAATTACCTGTTTCTGAGAGTTGTCTCCCATCATTGACCCAATTCTGAACAGTACAAAGTCCATGAAGAAGGATGTGGAAAACACATCAAGGGCATACAGTGCAGACAAGTATGGAAACAGTCGCCATTGCTGAAACAACATAAAAATGTGTGATATCTCAATGTCTGAAATACAGCAGGTTTCAATGTGAAGGACGATATGTTTTCCGAATTTTTTTAAAAAGTTTGAAGCTGGTGGTTGTCTTATACATGGAATGTGTTTAAAATATTTATTACTTAATTTTAGGCTACGAAAATACGGGGCCGTCTTATACACAAACAAATGTGGTAAATATTTTCTTAGATTATCATAATAAATGTTACAAAAATTAACGAGCTGTCCAAATTAACGAGGAACAGGTGGGTTATCTATCTTCATTTAGCAGACATAGGCAGAATACCAAAAAGGTAAAAGGTAAAGTCGGGAGATGTGAACCAGCGTCACTGCACATGGTTATAAACCTACTCCACCAGTACAGGCAGCTGATGAGAAACTGTCCACCTGTGTCGCCATCCGCACACAACTCCGTGGATACAGCAATGTTTCTCTATTTACTCCAGAGTGTTAACTCTGGTACCCATTACCTAGAGGCCGGGTGAACCCCAGGAACTGCCCGGTTTCCAACACCGGCTTTAGGCTGTAGTGAGTCTCTGCTGGATTTGAAAGCGAGTCTCCTATTGACTGCACTAACACGGCCCATAGGCAAAATACCATACTCATAAGAACGCTCTAGACAATTTGTTTATAATCTGATAATTTCCCTGCCGTCTGCACTTTCATGGCAAAACAGATCTTTAATGCTTCATGTCCACTGTCATGTTAGTCTCTACAGGTTCAAATATACACTCCATGTAGAAAACAATTACATCGTCAGAGTGCTTTTCTGTGCCCAACTAAGAAGATTGATTTAATTGATTTGATTTTGATTTAAGAACCGACATCACAGCACTCGGGGCATTCCCATAAGCGCTCTGTCCATCTTCAGCAGCCAGCGAAGAGTTCGATACTAATGGTGCCAGTAGCATTCTGATTATATGTCCGTCTTGACTTTCCTTTGAGCCTCGAGCATCTGCCAGAACTTTTCGTCACTCCCCGCTGCATCAGTCTCACCAGACTGTACTGATCCATCTGCTCCTCCGAACTGTAAATGCTCTCCCACAAGGCACTAATAACTAAGAAGATATATTACGTACTGACCAGTATCTTTTAGCAACAACTAGTCACATATGATATGTTGCTTGGTGACGAAAGAGGCTGAATCGGCATCACAGTATGCAGGACATTCCCATAAGTGCTCCTCTCCCAATTTCAGCAGCTAATACAAAGTTTCAATTCCGATGGTACTATAAACAATTTGTATCTCAACTCAACTTATGCCAGGTACACATGTCATCTCCTGCAGCATTTCTCATGTTCTTTCTAGCTATCCATCTTGACTCTAATATGAAAGCTGTCTTAACCCTATAACCCAGAGATGCAGCAAAACTGGCACTTCCAATTGGTACCATTTTCCGCATAAAAGCAGCTTTCCCGACTCATGTTTGTGAAATGGAAGAGACATGTTTGTGAAATGGAAGAGACATGTTTGTGAAATGGGAGAGACATGTTTGTGAAATGGGAGAGACATGTTTGTGAAATGGAAGAGACATGTTTGTGAAATGGAAGAGACATGTTTGTGAAATGGGAGAGACATGTTTGTGAAATGGGAGAGACATGTTTGTGAAATGGGAGAGACATGTTTGTGAAATGGGAGAGACATGTGGGAGAGACATGTTTGTGAAATGGGAGAGACTGGCGACCAGGTCCCAGTTAAGCACTTTCTACTTATGCTATTAACAGATTTTCTCGAGCAGAGCTTTATTTCCTCAGCTTACATTCAAGGGGATCTTTTCAGTTCTCTCCCTAAGCTTGGCAGAGTGATTTCATCTTATTAACAATATAAAAGTTGAAAGGCATCTGTGAAGATAACATTTATGACACTAGATTTTTATCTTATATGGCTCAGTCTCTCTCTCTGTTACACAAAGCACAAACACCTCTTTAGCTACAACTCTAAGGCTCTCAGAAAAAACCTGCACCTAGGAATTTGAAATCAAACATATAATATTCAGAGCAGAAGGCAAACAGCCTAATATTCACACCACACAGACCCCAGTAATGCACCATCTCAAAGTCAATTCTCACCTGTAGCTGGTACTCAATTACAGGTATCTCTTCCTCTGCAGTCGGACCAAACTGGCGCCGGACTGCCGAATACCTCACAGCGATGGTCATACACAACTTTAAGTTAGCCACTCCCATCCCAGTGATTCCCACACGACCTCCAGACAAGGCCCCAAGAGAAGCTCCAAACCTCTTGTTGGGGTCCTGAAGAAAAAGGACACACTGCGGGTAACTGCTCCGACAAATGGTACATAAAGTGAGAAACTAACAAGGACTTTATGCTCAACTTGATTTATAAGTATATGATAAATAAAGTAAAGTGCCTCTTCCCAGGTCTGGAAGTGTCTTGGGTAAGTGGTATATCAAGTAAGTTTCCCAGGTCTGGAGGTGTCTTGGGTAAGTGGTATATCAAGTAAGTTACCCAGGTCTGGAGGTGTCTTGGGTAAGTGGTATATCAAGTAAGTTTCCCAGGTCTGGAGGTGTCTTAGGTAAGTGGTATATCAAGTAAGTTTCCCAGGTCTGGAGGTGTCTTAGGTAGGGTATATCAAGTCTTTCCCAGGTCTGGAGGTAAGTGGTATATCAAGTAAGTTTCCCAGGTCTGGAGGTGTCTTGGGTAAGTGGTATATCAAGTAAGTTTCCCAGGTCTGGAGGTGTCTTGGGTAAGTGGTATATCAAGTAAGTTTCTCAGGTGTCTGGAGGTGTCTTGGGTTTCCTAGGTCTGGATATCAAGTAAGGAAGTTTTGTCTTGGGTAAGTGGTATATCAAGTAAGTTATCCCAGGTCTGGAGGTGTCTTGGGTAAGTGGTATATCAAGTAAGTTTCCCAGGTCTGGAGGTGTCTTGGGTAAGTGGTATATCAAGTAAGTTTCCCAGGTCTGGAGGTGTCTTGGGTAAGTGGTATATCAAGTAAGTTTCCCAGGTCTGGAGGTGTCTTGGGTAAGTGGTATATCAAGTAAGTTTCCCAGGTCTGGAGGTGTCTTGGGTAAGTGGTATATCAAGTAAGTTTCCCAGGTCTGGAGGTGTCTTGGGTAAGTGGTATATCAAGTAAGTTTCCCAGGTCTGGAGGTGTCTTGGGTAAGTGGTATATCAAGTAAGTTTCCCAGGTCTGGAGGTGTCTTGGGTAAGTGGTATATCAAGTAAGTTTCCCAGGTCTGGAGGTGTCTTGGGTAAGTGGTGTATCAAGTAAGTTTCCCAGGTCTGGAGGTGTCTTGGGTAAGTGGTATATCAAGTAAGTTTCCCAGGTCTGGAGGTGTCTTGGGTAAGTGGTATATCAAGTAAGTTACCCAGGTCTGGAGGTGTCTTGGGTAAGTGGTATATCAAGTAAGTTTCCCAGGTCTGGAGGTGTCTTGGGTAAGTGGTATATCAAGTAAGTTTCCCAGGTCTGGAGGTGTCTTGGGTAAGTGGTATATCAAGTAAGTTTCCCAGGTCTGGAGGTGTCTTGGGTAAGTGGTAGGGTGGTAACTGCAGCTCTCCGGTGGCTAGAGGACAAAATACATACACATGTCGTAACTGTAACAGACTCTGAAAGTATGCTGAGAAAGGCGAAGACAGGGATGCTTCGAGCAGAGTGGCAAGCTTCACTGGGAAGATCACGGGTGGTTAGCATTCTTTGGGTTTTTCTCATGGTTATGCCTGCGTGGTTGGTAATGAACAGGCAGACAGATTGGCTGGATCTGCACCACTGGGTGGTGAACTGATGCATGACAGGGCAGATGTCAAGGCCCTTTGGGAACAAGTAAAGGAATCAGTAGAGAAACAAGATTTTTATGGCCTGGAAAGAACAAGGCAGCTGGGTGTAACCAGAGGGTTTGGCCGCCTCACTACATTCAGAGGAAAGGCGAGACGGACCTATAACCAGATTGTGACCGGTTACCATCAGTGCTGGAACTCTGCACTGGTTGCTGAAGATGAGGACGGAGCACACATGGAAATGTCCCAAGGGCTGTGATGGCAATTCTTGACTTAACTAACTAGCAAACTAACTAATTAACTAACTAACTAACTAACTAACTAACTGTCTAACAGGCTGACTAACTAGCTAGCTAACTAACTAACTAACTAAATAACTAACTAACTAACTAACTAACTAACTAACTAACTAACTAACTAACTAACTAACTAACTAACTAACTAACTAACTAACTAACTAACTAACTAACTAACTAACTAACTGGGTAAGTGGTATATCAAGTAAGTTTCCCCAAGGCTGGAGGTGTCTTGGGTAAGTGGGATTTCAAGTAAGTTTCCCCAAGGCTGGAGGTGTCTTGGGCAAGTGGTATTTCAAGTAAGTTTTCCAGGTCTGGAGGTATGTCTAGTATAAGGTACATAAAGTAAGTTTTCCTGGCTCAGAGGTATTTCTAGTGTAAGGTATTTAAAGTAAGTTTTCCTGGCCTTGAGGTATTTCCGGCAAGACCAGTTCTCAGGTCTGGAGGTGTAAATAAAGTAAATGACCTTTCCCCCAGGCCCAGGGAAAAGCCCAGAAAAACGTTTCAATGTACTTCTCCTAGTGGCTTGGTAACACTGCCGAGGGCTGCGACAATAACTGTCCCACTAAATTCCAGAGAAATTTGACTAAAAAGCTCAACAAAATGGGAAAGAGGAAAACGTGCACAAAACAACGCAACGTAAAGTTTCGGCCGGGCAGCCTTTTTCAAACATAAGTGAAATACACAAACGAGGAATGGAGAGTATGTAGATCTCTAAGGGGTAACGTGAGCGACGTTTAAAAAAATGTGATGCGGAATAAATGAAATAAAATAAAATAAACGATGGCTAAAAAATATAGTCACAATACTGGGAATATAAGAAATGCAAGTGTTAATGATACATAAATGATACTGATAAGAAATAGAATAAAGTAATAATATGAAATAAAATAAAATAATTAACAATTAAAATGTGATAATATTAGAACTATTTAGATGAAGGTATGTTGGATATTGATACCACTTGGACTAAGAACGCCAAGGCTGTAGATAAGGCGATTTTCTAAAGCGAGGCGGGTAGTATGATCGCCAGAGCAAGATTTTAATGCTGTGACAGATATGACATCTTTACCGCTGTGGTCAGGGCTATTAAAATGAAGTGAAGAGGGATTGGTTTGAGTGTCTTCTTGTCGATATCGGAGAGGTGTTCCCAGAAACGATCAGCTAGCTTCCTGCCAGTCTCCCCAATGTATGCCTTGCTGAATCATTTGCAGAAAATTGCATAAATTACGTTGCGGGATTCGCAAGTAAAAGGTTCCCTAATTTGAAAAGAACCATTAGGGAAACTGACGGAAGATGTCTGGACAACGAAAGGACATGTCTTGCAGGTGCTGCGTGAGCACTGAGTAATCCCAAAAGGAAGTGCTGTGTGGATCGGTGGGAGTCGGCTTCGGACAAGTATGTCTTTAAGGTTGCGGTCTCGTCTGTGAACTAATCTAGGTTTCTCACTAAAGATAATCTTGGTGTCCGGATCTGAGCGGAGGATCAGCTGGGGATCCTCAACTGGTTGAAGGCAACAAACCTGAGGACATAATGTGTGTCCCCCACTAAACAGCAACAGTTATAAACTACAATTATACGTTAACAAAAAGCTGGACTGAACACTTCTTCTTTTGTTCACCAGCTAACTCTGGTAGAAAGCCTTGGTTGCTCACCCATTTGGACTTTGGCTTTGTGTTAGGGCCTGAGTTTTGCATGTACATCCGATTTGCTCTGTCACAAGTGTTAAGTTGGTTGTAACTTGCTGCTTCAGAAGAACTCTTATTACATGCTTTCTTTTTTGTAGCAGTGGGTCTTTTTTTTGTTTTTTTTTATTTTTTTCCTCCCATAATGGAGTCCTAGAACCCACATGGGGAGACTTGAACATAAAGCTGGACATAGAATGACTTTAATCTATTCCTGGATGCGTAGCAAGTCCCCTGTTACTGATCATTTATTTAATGTTTTAACTGACAAGAACTCTGTTCAGATTTCTCAAAGAAATGAAGTTCTTCTTATAAGACACAATTCTGCACACACAGGAATGTTGTAAACAATCGCTGCCATGCTAAATTTCATGCAGACATTTCAATATACACAGCTAATAGTCATTCTGCAGTCATAAATTTTGATGACCACAATGGCCAGATATTTATGGTCTCTGTAGGCTGCTTGGACGAATTCATTCTCATGGACACTCACATTTGTGCTTCATTTCTTTCTGTTTCAAGGGCCAAATAAAGAATGAAGTGCTCCGGTTCTTTCACTCGTAATCACATGCATTCGATCTGCATGATCAATTTCAACACTACTCACTATTCCCCTGTTTTGTAAGAAACATGCTAAACCTATGATTCTCCTTCCTGGAGTAAGCTTTTCTAAACTCCGTCCTTATGCTAAACAGGTGTTTATCTTCCGATGGTAAAACTTTTATCGTTTTGGTAAAACACGGATTGTTACAAATGTATAGAGGCTTATGCCTCTGCTCGTATGAAACCCTAGACTGAAGTACCTTGTACGAGGTGACGTACTGTCCTGCTGGTGTCACATCACCAAACTTGTCCAGCAAATTCTCCCTGGGGATTCTCAACTGGTTGAAGGCGACAAACCTGAGGGCATAATGTGTGTGTGATGTATTACCATGTGAAAAATCACACGACAATGTGTTTGTGCCATATCATATCACAGAGTAACAATGTGTATGTGTGACATATGTTAATGTTTCAACAAATGTGTGTGATGTATCACATTGTGACCATGTGTGCATGTGTGTGATGTATCACATTGTGATCATATGTGTGTGTGCCATGTATCACATCATGTAAACACATGTGTGTCATATTGTGACATGTCACACCACATGATGCGCGTGTGTGTGTGTGTGTGTGATATCACAAAGTGACAACATAAGCACTTAAATGTGTCAACATGTGAGTGATGTATCAATATGTGTGTGTGTCCATGAGTCTGATTTGCAACATTATTACAATGTTTATTACAATATATGTCTGTGTGATATTACATACGTGACAACCCAGTATCCCACTGGGGAAATAAGTGTGTGTATAATGAAGATCTAAACTATAACAACTCAACAGCACGAGAGATACCGGTGGAATCCAAACTTTACGGGCCGCCAACTGAATTACAAAAGACAGTGAAGTTCATACTAGAGACAACACTGTAGATATAGATCATTTCTTTCAAGGGAACGAAAGAAGAAGAAGACATCTTAATAGCCTAATGTGCGTCTTACAGTTTTTGTGAAAACTGGTATCTGGATGTCAAGGAAGTGTACATGCCAAGTTGGCTGTTTAGGAGATAACATGGGACCCCAGTAAAAAAAATATACCCTAGAGATTCAGCAATGATGAAAGGCACATCAGGCAAAAGGAATACATATTAAATTTTTGCGATTATAACACAACTAAACTATGTCATATTTTTCTTTTTTTTACAGTTCACACTGGTAGAAAGTTCTAGTTGTTGGCTTATCAATGGACTTTGGTCTTGTTTTAGAATTTGAGTTTTATGTGCACATCCATTTTACAGATCTGGCTTATTTGTATGCAGACAGTTGGCTCTTGCCTCTCGAGACAAACGCACCCGAATGGACTCTGTAACCCACATGAGGACCAAGTAAGATTGAAAAAAGGAAATGGGGAAGGAAAATAAGAAGAGTCAGAAGAAGGAGGAGGAGGAAGAGGGGGAATAAGGAGGAGGAGAAGAGGGAAAAGGAGGAGATGACAAAAAAGAGGAAGACGAAGAAGAACATGAATGAGAAGAAAAAAAAATCAGAGGAAAGAAAAAAAGCAGGATGGTGAAGGAGAAAACCTCAAACCCAACTTCAAACTCTCCCCTCCCCCTTTCACTACAAATAAACTCACATGTTTTCCAGCCCATTGAGGCCAAATTCTCGCCTATATAGCCACTGAAAAATATTGTGGCGACTGGAAAGATAACTAGTAGAACAGGCAGAGGCAGACCAAGAGAAATGATGGTGGATTCTGCCTCTTTTATCATGATTTATTTATCTATCACGTTCTTCATTGTCTTTGTTCTCATCACATGGTTCATGGGTCTTTTTTGGATAGTTTCTCTAGGTAATGCAGGTGTGCTGGGAAATAAACAGGCAGAGAGATTGGTATGGAGGAATATTATCAGTAGAAGTGATCCAGAACACCAAAGACCGAGATCTGTGGCAACGCATGAAGGCCTATCCGCCAGCTGGCAAGGCACTTGATTATGATGATATCACCAACAATGACCCCATGAAGTGAAACCCCACTTATCACACTCACCCGTTATCCAGTCCATTGAGGCCAATTTTCTCGCCCATATCACCAACAATGACCCCTGGAAGAGCCAGCAATGTCTTGGGGTCTCTAACTGGGACAACAAAGGTATGCAGTCCCTGGCACTGCCCATTCTCAGTATACAGCTGTGCGTACAAAATTCCATGAGTTGCCTGTTTGCCCAAGTTACCAACCCAAATCTTTGTAGCTTCAAAATCTGGTGTGTTGATGACAAACTCCTGTGGAGAAAAACAAAGTGGTTATTCTTTAGAAGTCAAATTTAATAAGTCTCTTTTCCCGTGTCAGTTCTGAGAGCTCATTTCAATGGGAAAAAAGAATAGACTCAATGATCATTAATCTACATGTCATAAAAGCGACTAATTAAAGATTTACCACACACGGAATAGATGCTAACAGTGATCAAGGCTGTATAAATTAAACTCTACTCTTCTATGCTATGCAAACAGAAAGATCACGTGATGGCTTTGAAGTTATCATGGCTATCATGTGACTGATTCTGAATTTTCAGTAGACAGATGTACAGCAACTTGACAATGTGATTTACGCATTTCAGCAAGAAAAAGATTCATTTTGTGCTTCATTATATGTTGATTTAACTCTGTTCTGATGCACATGATGATAAAAAGCGAAAAATATCTGGCAATAAATTGTGCAATGTATTCTTTTGTGTACACATTATTTAAATTTACAACAGGAAGACCATGTTTTGAATTAATGGCTGATTTAGACAACTTTTTTCAGGCAAACAAAAGAAGAAGAAAGAACAAATTCCCTTTCGGCTAGAAAGAACGACAGTGTAATATAACTGTACAGACCACTAAATGAACTAGAAAAAATACAGTGTGATTTACACAAGAGACAAAATAGCTGATATAGTCAACTTACTTCAGGTGAATAAAAGGAGAAGAAGAACAAGAACGAGAAGAAGAAAGGACAATTTCCCTTTTGGCTGGAAAGAACAACAGTGGAATGTTACCTCTACAGACCAAGGAATGAACTTAAAAAATACAGTGAAATTTATAAGGCAGACAAAATGGCTGATATAGAAAACTTATTTCACTTCCAAATTTTAAACTTGGGAGAACATGGCAAAATATAGTAATTGCATATTCACACATCCTCACATATGTTATTTCATGCAACATCGTATCACTTAGAATCGCACATACTTGGAATTATTTGTACATGTCATTTGGAATTATACATACATGTGACTTACAATCACAGATACCTGTGACTTGGAATTATTTGTACATGTCATTTGGAATCAAACATACATGTGACTTACAATCGCAGATACCGGTGACTTGGAATTATATATACCTGTCATTTGGTATCATACATACATGGGAATTACAATTGCAGATACCTGTGACTTGGAATCGTATATACCTGTGACTTGGAATTATACATACATGTGACTTAGAATCGCAGATACCTGTGACTTGGAATCGCAGATACCTGTGACTTGGAATCGTATGTAACTGGGACTTGGAATCGTACATACCTGTGACTTGGAATCGTATGTGGCCGTGGTCCTCATATTTTTAGTGTTACTTCCATGACTCAGTTCGGTTAAAATGAAGCAACCGAAATTCTGGAAGCAGAAAGAAAGAAAACAATTTAATCAATGCAGCAAAATGTACACGTGTGCAGCAAGGAAATTAAATGCTCTTCTGGAATAGAAAGGCCAAGCAATGTAAATTATGATCTTTAATCATCATCATCATGTGCATTGCCTGATGATGTAGTCAATCATGTCAATTTAAGCATCTCCGTCTATGATGTTCTTGTTTATTTCTCTTTTTATTTCCACAGACCAATCATCTTTGACCATATTGCAGCAATAATAATAATAATAATGATTTTCCTTCTCCTTCTGGTGCTGTTTCTTCTTATTCTTCTTGTTTGCATTCACAGGTTGTAAATGTTGTGATTGCCTGTCCGCTTCTTGACTCTAGTATTGTTCCTTCTTCTTTAGCAATCTCTGGTCTTGCACTTAATCCACTGTGGGCCATAAACTGAGATGTCATCTCAAGGTCTCTTTAAGTTTCCCCAAAGCATAGTTGTCAGGTCTACTGGGTGTCATGTTGCTACGGGGCTCCTCCAAGAGAGGACAGTCTTACGAGACATGTTCTGGAGTTTGTTCAGCATGAAGACACTGGCAGAGAGCTATCTGGCTCATACCTAATTTACATGAGTGTTTGTTGAGTCTGCAGTGTCCGGTGCAAAAGCAAAAAAACTGTGACTTGGTCAGTTCTATTCAGGTTTTTTGAGGAAATCTTTTTCCTGGTTATAACCTGTGTTGGTTTTCCAATTTGTCTCTCTTAATGAAGGTATTGATAGTGTTTTTCCGGAACCTGAATTTTGCATACACATTAAGTTTACAGATCTGTCTTATTTGAATGCAGACTGTTGACTTCTCGCTTCTCAGGTAGTTGTGCTCTGACTATGAAGGAAACGCACCTAATTATGACCAGCTTGTGGCGGAGGGGGGGGGGGGGGGCCCACAGTAAGAGGCCCCCACAGTAAGAATTCTCTTGATTTCATTCTGCCTCTTTTATCATGATTTATTTATCTATCACGTTCTTCATTATCTTTGTTCTCATCACACGCTTCAGAGGTCTTTTTTTGGATAGTTTCTCTAGGTAATGCAGGTGTGCTGGGAAATAAACAGGCAGAGAGATTGGCTGGTTCTGCGCCACTGAATGGTGACTTGATGCATGACAAGCTAGATGTGATTATGGACCTTTTGGAGGGAGAGAACAACGCAGAAGTGCAACTAGCAAAAGACAGTCCCTTAATTCTTTAATTCTCTTACTGGGTTTCAGTAACACTGCGGCCACTAATTCACATCCAGTAAAATGTGTGGCTCATTTTCGCTTCTACTATTCCTGCAAGCCACTTATGATGATCTGTGTTTTCATGTAGCTCAACTGTGAGTTCAGTTTAAGTGGATCTGAGGCATCCTGTTTCAATTTACTTGTATCAGTTCCCATTGTACATATACTCCCCAAAAACAAGACTTCCAATTGTAGCTGTTAGGCATGCACAGTATGTGATAGCATTCTTCTCGTGACTACCACAGTCGAGATTATAATGCCGGCAAGTTTCCTCCTGTCTTGCAGTGGCAGTAGTAGCAGTAGTAGTAGTAGAAGAAGGAATTGGAGGCGTAAAATCAGGGTAGTAGTAGGATTAGCAGCAGTAGTAGTTGTAGCAGCAGCAACAGTATTAGTAGTAATAACAGCAGGAGTAGTAGTAGCAAAATTTAATGGCAGAAGCAAAAGAAGAGGAGGAGGAGAAAAAGAAACCATAGTGATACTAGACTGGAATGGCTGGCCAAATGGTTAGAATGCTGGGAGACCTGGGTTTGAACCCTCAGGGAGGTTGGACATTTTTCTGTCAAAGGCAAAAATAAAATCTTGAGCTGCACAGTTTGTGACGACAGCACTAGCCATGCGGCCCTAAATCCCCAGGCTCAAAGGCTCTACCTGCCTACACCACAACAGTGGTAAATACAAGCAGCAACGGCAGTGATACTAGATGGAATATTTCTGCAAACATAACCAGCAGCAGGTGGCTTTTTATCATGATAATATCTCTTTTGTACCCTGCCTGCTGCCTGACCCAGTTCTCTGATCCGATTATATAATACAGCAGTGCTTCTCAAACTGTGTATGCTGACCCCCTTGTCAAACTACGTACACTCATCTCCTTTTTTCAAACTGTGTACACTGACCCATTTCCCTGTGTTGTCCATGACAGCATGATCCCTCACTTGGCTGCTTTGTTTTTTCCACAAAACAGTCAGACTTCCAGTACAAAACAGTCAGACTTCCAGTACAAAACAGCTTTTCGGAAGGAAGTCCATTAAAGACTTGATGTGTTTTTTTGCTTCTGACTTTATGGTTTGCTAATGTAGTTTCTGCATATGGACTAGATTCCAGAGCTATTGAGTCAAGTGCTTGGTGCAATAATGTGAGCTGTGTATTTTGTGTGGAGTGCCTTTCCTCTGTGCCTGCAGAAGTTTGTGCTGTAATATTTAGAAAACGACTGGTGACTAGTTTGAGTCTGATCTTGCTAAGTGCCATATGCATTAATACTGCGTGTGCACAGCCAACTTGTCGAGACTGACTACTTCCATCAAGGTCTGCCAGTCAGAGTTCCCTTCCTAAACCAGATCAGACCAGTGGTGTTTTGTCTCTGCCTGTCAGAGTTCCCTTCCTATACCAGATGAGACCAGTAGTGTTTTGTCTGTCTGCCTGTCAGAGTTCCCCTCCTAAACCAGATCAGAACAGTAGTGTTTTGTCTCTGCCTGTCAGCGTTCCCCTCCTAAACCAGATCAGACCAGTAGTGTTTTGTCTGTATGCCTGTCAGAGTTCCCTCCTAAACCAGATCAGACCAGTAGTATTTTGTCTGTCTGCCTGTCAGAGTTCCCCTTTTAGACCAGCTGCCAACCACGGCCATAACTTCAAGTTCTCAGGTTGCATGGCCTTGCTCTAGAATAAGTCTAGTATCCTCTCCCAACCCTCCACAAAAAGCCACTGTCATGACGTAGGATGTCAGGTGTATTTGCCACACAATATCATATTAGAATTACTAATGTAAGCAATAGATATCGCTCTACAGGACATTTCATAATGGGTAAAACTATAACAATATGTTTCACGAAGAATAAATTACAGCACATAGTTGGTATCTTTCCATCTTTCCAGATGGCTGCATTACACTGGGCTATGACAAGGGATGGGACACACAGCCCATGGTGATGGTGAGTGTGACTAGCAAGACCCGCCAGCGTTAAGAAAAAGTCTTCATTTGTAGCATGCGATTTTAGGACCGTTGTTGCTTTCATTTGTATGTTGTGTGTTTCTTCTCAGATGCTCAGCTCTCATCCTTTCTGCAATCATTTATTCCTTTATCCTTAACCCCTTCCTGATTTGCCCCTTCCACTTCACACAGTCCATGGTATAGAGAAGAGAGAGAGAGAGAGAGAGAGAGAGAGAGAGAGAGAGAGAGAGAGAGAGAGAGAGAGAGAAAGACAGAAAGAGAGGAAGAGAGACATAAAGACAGACAAAGAGGAAGAGACAGAGACAGATAAATACAGAGACAGACAGAGATAGATAAAGAGTGAAAAAAAAAGATAGATTAAGATAGAGAGAAAGAGAAATATAAATAGACAGACATATAGGAAGACAGACACAGATACAGATGAACAGAAAGATACAAAGAAAAAATACCCTAGAGAAATAGAGATATCCACATCCACACATATGCACACAGAGACCACTAAAAAAAGAAACATACCTGTAAAGCTTTATTCTTGTCAATGATCTCTGTATGTCTCTGTGAGCCCATATTCAGAATCGTGCCAGCAAACATCTGTAACACAAATACATGTTCTTCAAGTGCTGAGCTCAGAAATGACATCATAGCAATCGGGACAGTCCAAAAAGCGCTCCAAACTCATCTTCAGCAGCAAGCCAAGAGATCCAATCCTAATGATGCCAGTAACAGTTTTACTAAATGCCCATCTTGCCTTTCCTCTAAGTATAGAGCCTCAAACAGATCCCCTGGTCACTCTAAGCTGTACCATTCTCTCCTCTGAGTGTAAAGTCTCAACCAGATCCCCTGGTCACTCTCAACTGTACCATTCTCTCCTCTAAGTATAGAGCCTCAACCAGATCCCCTGGTCACTCCCAGCTGTACCATTCTCTCCTCTGTGTGTAGAGCCTCAAACAGATCCCCTGGTCACTCCCAGCTGTACCATTCTCTCCTCTGAGTGTAGAGTCTCAACCAGATCCCCTGGTCACTCTAAGCTGTACCATTCTCTCCTCTGTGTGTAGAGCCTCAACCAGATCCCCTGGTCACTCTAAGCTGTACCATTCTCTCCTCTGTGTGTAGAGTCTCAACCAGATCCCCTGGTCACTCTAAGCTGTACCATTCTCTCCTCTGTGTGTAGAGCCTCAACCAGATCCCCTGGTCACTCTAAGCTGTACCATTCTCTCCTCTGTGTGTAGAGCCTCAACCAGATCCCCTGGTCACTCTAAGCTGTACCATTCTCTCCTCTGAGTATAGAGCCTCAAACAGATCCACTGGTCACTCTAAGCTGTACCATTCTCTCCTCTGAGTTTAAAGCCTCAACCAGATCCCCTGGTCACTCTAAGCTGTACCATTCTCTCCTCTGAGTGTAAAGCCTCAACCAGATCCCCTGGTCACTCTCAACTGTACCATTCTCTCCTCTGTGTAGAGCCTCAAACAGATCCCCTGGTCACTCCCAGCTGTACCATTCTCTGATCTGTGTAGAGCCTCAAACAGATCTCCTGGTCACTCTAAGCTGTACCATTCTCTCCTCTGTGTAGAGCCTCAAACAGATCCCCTGGTCACTCCCAGCTGTACCATTCTCTCCTCTGTGTAGAGCCTCAAACAGATCTCCTGGTCACTCTAAGCTGTACCATTCTCTCCTCTGTGTAGAGCCTCAAACAGATTCCTGGTCACTCTTAGCTGTACCATTCTCTCCTCTAAGTATAGAGCCTCAAACAGATCTCCTGGTCACTCCCAGCTGTACCATTCTCTCCTCTAAGTATAGAGCCTCAAACAGATCCCCTGGTCACTCCCAGCTGTACCATTCTCTCCTCTAAGTATAGAGCCTCGACCAGATCCCCTGGTCACTCCCAGCTGTACCATTCTCTGCTCTAAGTATAGAGCCTCAACCAGATCCCCTGGTCATTCTCAGCTGTACCGTTCTCTCCTCTAAGTATAGAGCCTCAAACAGATCCCCTGGTCACTCCCAGCTGTACCATTCTCTCCTCTAAGTATAGAGCCTCAAACAGATCTCCTGGTCACTCCCAGCTGTACCATTCTCTCCTCTAAGTATAGAGCCTCAAACAGATCCCCTGGTCACTCCCAGCTGTACCATTCTCTCCTCTAAGTATAGAGCCTCAAACAGATCCTCTGGTCACTCCCAGCTGTACCATTCTCTCCTCTAAGTATAGAGCCTCGACCAGATCCCCTGGTCACTCCCAGCTGTACCATTCTCTCCTCTGAGTGTAAAGTCTCCACCAGATCCCCTGGTCACTCCCAGCTGTACCATTCTCTCCTCTGAGTGTAAAGTCTCCACCAGATCCCCTGGTCACTCCCAGCTATACCATTCTCTCCTCTGAGTGTAAAGTCTCCACCAGATCCCCTGGTCACTCCCAGCTGTACCATTCTCTCCTCTGAGTGTAAAGTCTTGACCAGATCCCCTGGTCACTCCCAGCTGTATAATATTCTCCAGACCATAATGATCTATTTGTGCCTCCAGATTGTTCACTAGTTCATAGAACACATTGACTACATCTACTATGCACTAATTCACAAACCATGGTGTAGAACCAGCCACTCTGTCTACCAGTTCATTTCCCAGCAGCCCTGCATGCCCTGGAGAAAATATCCAAAGAATGCTTTCAGGGATGGACGTGATGATTCCTTGGGTGAGCCCAGGAAGGAGGGGCAGGGGCCGGCCAACACAAAGAGGGGCATAGCATATAATTGACACCTACGGTAGGAAAGTTGATGAGGCGGGAGAGCTGGCGAGACAGCGACTTTCTTTCAGGCAGATCGTGATGATAGCAACATTCTGCAAAGAATCTGCTATTAGATGATGATGAGTGTTCATCTGATACACACATAATCATTATTATTTAATGCCTTGTCAACTGGTGTCAGTGATCATGCATCACTGCATCCAGCGGTCTCCAACAGCTTATATCAGTTTATGTGAAGATACCCCTTCCAGCATGTCAAAAGGCTGTCAAAAATCTTCACAATGTCTTCCCTTTGTCACGCGGATTCCAGGGCATTTTCCACATCTTCTGACGAAGGAGGGCATATAGGGCCAGACCTATATTTTATAGACCAATCGGCACGTGATGTGGTCAGCAGCATGCCAGTAGCCTGAACTTTTCAGGATTTCACCTTTGAGATCGGGGTGATATGGAAGCCAGATACAATTTCAAACACTAAACTACTTCAAGCCACGAACCAAGAAACTTTAGACAGGATGATAACCAAGAGAAGATGAAAATGGCTTGGCCACATTATGAGAATGAATCCTGATATACCTGCCAAAACAGCTCTCACATGGATACCAGAGGGAAAGAGAAAACAGGAGCTCTCAAAAACAACATGGAGACGAACGATGGAAAGTGACCTGAGTGCAACATCTTTGACATGGAAAACTGCACTGAAGATTGCACAGGACACTAAAGCATGGAAAGTCCTCTCTGAAGCCTCATGTGCCACTAGGCATAACGAGAACTGATGAAAATGATGATATGGAAGCCAAGGTCATTTTTGAAAAACGCCCACCGCTGTCCAGATTTGAACCCATGACCTCTGGATCTGCAGGTGAGAGTCTAGCTGCTACACCAGATAAAGAAGTAGAAGAGGTTGAATAAGAAGAATATTGCAAAATATCTCTTCATCATCAGTGTCAGTCCTGAGAAGGGTGGAAGGCACAATATTTTGTGGTTTAAAGCTAGGCTGCAGAATCTGCGCCTTTCTGCCCAACAGACCTAATTTCAGCAAAACTTTTATTAGTCGCCTTTTACAGCATGCTTGCTAAGGTGCCGTGAGTCTAATTCCCCCGCCTCGCCACCCCAAAATGGGCTTCGGAACCCACACAGGCAGTACAGTATGTAGAGGTAAAAAGCTGCACTCACCTCATTATTGAGCGACAGCTTGGCAGAGACGGTCCAATCATACATCCCCAGAGACTCGAGGTAAGCCTTGAACTTCAGAGGGTTGCCGTAGAGCTCTTCTTCAGTCAGGAAGTTGTAGACCATCACGTGCTGGGCCCGCCGGAATGTGTTCTCTCGCTGTTTCTCCAAAGAAGGGGTGTGAAAGCCACGGGCAAATGCAGGGTCATTTTCCAGGGTTGTATAAATCTTGTGCTAGCAGAGGAAGGAAACAAATAATGCATGAATTTAAACGACAGAATGAATTAGAGGAAAAAACTTACATCTGCTGATAGGCATTTATAGAAGGGTGAAAGATATATTTATCAGAGGATTTCTACACAACAGGCAGAAGATGACACCAAGCACCTTTTTTAGAGCAGTGTTCCTCAACACCTTTACACCCGCGACCCAACAAAACAGGGATATTTTTTTGACCTGCCGTACAGCTAATTAAATACAGAAACCAAACTGACCAGTACGATGCCACACTGGCTTTGCAGGAATTACATAGCCGCTATAGAGTCACTGTCCCAGCCCAGACTGGACCACAGATTGTGTAACTGCAGGGTGACACAATATATCACAGTTTTAAACGTTTTAACTAGGTTTCCTTGATTTGTACCTGTTTGATTCTCATCTCTGAGAGTTTTCCGCAGCCCCCTTGGACTTTCCCCGCAACTCACATGGGCTTTTCTGCAGCCCACATGGACCTTTCTGCAGCCCACAGGGACTTTTCTGCAGCCCATGTGGACTTTTCCACAGCACTCCTGGACTTTTCCTCAGCCCACCTGGACTTTTCCACAGCCCATATGGACTTTTCTGCAGGCCACACAGACTTTTCCACAACCCATCTGGACTTTTCCACAGCTCATATGGACTTTTCCGTGGGCCACACAGACTTTTCCACAGCCCACCTGGACTTTTCCACAGCCCATATGGACTTTTCTGCGTGCCATACTGACTTTTCCACAGCCCACCTGGACTTTCCTGTGGGCCACACTGACTTTTCCACAGCCCACCTGGACTTTTCCACAGCCCACACCGACTTTTCTGCGGGCCACACTGACTTTTCCCACAGCCCACATGGACATTTCTGTGGACCACATGGGTTTTTCTGCAGCCCACTTAAGATTTTCTGTGCTCCTTCTGGACTTTTCCACAACCCAGCTGAACTTTTCTGCAGCCCACTTAGACTTGTCAGTGGTCCACTTGTTGAAGAACATTGTGTTAGACAACAAAAAAGAGGCAGTAGACATAAAAGATTAAAGTGCTATAAAGAAACTGTTGTTTCAATTCACTCGAGACATGGACAATTAGCAGAAAAGCTGAAACTCATTTACTGGCAGCAGAGATGCAGTTTCTGAGAAGAATAAAAAGAATATTATGAAATAAAGAAAAAACAGACGAGACAGTCCTGCTCAAGAAAGATGGGAACTATTGGAGAAATTAGATGTATACAACTGGTCGTTTCGGATATGTTACGAGAATGAATGGACTTTAAAAACTTGGCCATGAATGGCAAGATTGTTGGAAAGAGCAAGGGAAACGCAAATAGATAAACCCTTTCAGTCAGTAACACTAAAAAGGTTTTAAGGTTTTGAACAACGGATCAACATCATGGCACACAGGTAGTAACCCATAAGTGCTCTGTTCTTCTTCTAACTCAACTCTGAGTCCGAAGAAGCTCAGCACAGTGCACAGGCTGTGTAGCACCAGCAAGGACCCTGAAATACTTCGGGTAGACTTTTAACTCCAAATTTTGCCCGGGCAGCACTGTTAAGTTACTCTTTTCGATTTCCAACTGCTAAGGGATTTTTTACGTCTCAACAATGCACACAGGCGTCTGATCTCACTACCCAGAGACCAGGGGGAATTACTAGAAATCTAAGTCCACGTGCAAAGATCCAAGCCCTTACCGGGGATTGAACCCGGAGCCTCTAGCACTCGAGGCAGACACCATGATTTGAGACCACACAGCCCCAGTAACACTTAAAAAATGGGTCAGAAACCCGTGGAATTTCCCGGTAAATCCTGTAAAGGAAACAAAACAATTTTACAGGGCTCACTAATAAATGTTGAATAGTCAGTGGCAGCCAGCGTGCACTGGATCGCAAATTATTTATCCCCACGACGCTTAACAGCAGAAACAGTTTGTGATGATGATGATGACTAATAAATGTTTTAAAAACCTGTCTATGTTCATGTTTCAACTTTTAGGGTAGGTAGGTGCTTTGTTGGAAACAAATCATCACATTTAACCAGCATCCCTGAAAGGAGAGCTTTAGGTTATAATTGTGACCAGGGTATGTGTGCCACATAAAATGGCTTAGCACTGCACGCCACCAAGTGCCCTGAAAAGGATTCCTGCAGTGTTTATGCGATCAAGGGAGACAAACCCAAATATGACAAAGTCATCTACTGGCCAACCAATGGGCGACCCGGTCGCTGATTCTATTTTTAAGAAATATACAACCAAATATATAAAGGAATTAATAAATTAATATAAACAGTGCGAATCATTCATTGTAATTCATTACCTTGGGCCCCACAAAAAATGTGTATCAGGTTACTCATGCCGTGACCTCATGACCCCTATCACTGAGGATTATGGGAATATTTGAAAAGTCTGGTTCAGGGCTTCCCGGGGTGAAACAGTTAAATACCTGGATGGCTCAGGCAGATGGATGAGAACGAGATAAGAACAACTGACCTGATCCAGGATTCTGGTGGTCGTGTGAGATGGCAAAATATGACAGCCTATGCTTAAAAACAGGCCACATAATAAAACGCTGAACTAGACAAAATGCAGAAATAAAGATAAACCAGACAACAAAAATGAGATCATCAGCATCCTTATCAGGTGCCTTGCTGACTGGCGTGGGCGATCATGCCTCACCACAATCTGTGATCTCCTGCAGCATGTATCAGTTTGTGTGCTGACATACCTCCAAGCCTTGCAACAAGACTGTCAAGAATCTTCTCTCGTTGTCTTCCTCTATCCCTCCTTCCACAGATCTTTCCAGTGGTCACAACATGTTCCATTTTCCCTCTCCTTATAACATGGCCGAAAAAATGATGACTGTCTCCTTCTGATGTCTTTTATAAGTTGTCTTTGGGCTTTCGCCTCTTTCAAAACCTCTTGGCTGCTCTTTTTTGGCTGCCCAAGGTATTTTAAGCATTCTTCTGTAAAACCACATCTCTGAGGCCTCCAGAAATTGTTTGGCCTGCCTATCGATTGTCCATGATTTACAGCCATAAGTTAAAACTGGATGTATGTACCAAGCAAGAATTCTGTGTCTAACTCTCAATGACAAAGATATATTGCACAAGATGTTTATTTTATAAAATGCAATTTTTGCCTGTCCTATTCTGTTTCTTATCTCAGTAATGCATCTTCCATCTGATGTTATCCATGGGCCCAGATATTTAAATGTACTTGTCCCAAAATAACACCATTGACTTTTATTACACATTTAGGACTAATTCTTTTCTTTGATACCATCATTAATTCTGTCTTCCCATTATTCAAACAGAGGTCAATCTTCCACTTTTTACCACCACAATGTCTTTCATTTCCTGTAGTTCTTTCTCATTTGTTGCTATCAAGACTGTGTCATAAGCATGACACAGATTATTTATATTGTGCCCACCAACCACAATTCCGGGCATATCAATTCAAGATCTCATTTTATATTCGCTGTATAGTGAAAACAAATTAGGAGACAGTACACATCCTTGTCATACGCCCCGAACTATGCTCTGAAGTGTACCAAAACAGTTGTTAATTCTTATAGCTGCTGTTTGCTGCCAATATTTATTCTTTATTATTCGTAGATCTTTTCCATCAATGTTGAATTTTTTTAACAGTTTGATTACTTCTTCATGCTTCACACAGTCAAATGCTTTTGTATAGTCTATGAAGTATAAGTAAAAAACAGTCTTTACTTCTATAGCTCTTTCTGATAATGTCCTTAGGATGTATATGGCATTGTTTGTGCATGTTTCTTCCACAAATCCACATTGTTCATCGCTGATTTTTGGTTTAAATTTGTTTATTATTCTTCTCATAAATATTCTCAGTAAAATCCTAGTCATGTGACTCATAAGAATGATTGTGCGTTGGTCTCCACATTTTAAAGTGCCTGGCAGAGCTATAAATATGGATTTTAAAAGGTCATTTTGAAAATACCCACTGTTATAAATATAATTTTAAAGTTTAGTTATTATTTCAATTCAAAAATCTCCCAGTGCTTCAGTTTCTTCCAGTGAGATGTTGTCTGGCCCGGGTGCTTTTCCTTTTTTCATATGATGCAATGCATCCTCAACTTCTGCAGTCATTATTGGTGGACCATCAGTGTTAGTCAGCAATTCTACATCTGGTCATTATCATACAATTTCCCTATATACTCTGTCCATCTGTTAAAAATATTACTATGTCCCCTTAATAAGTCACCATCTTTTGATTTTAAACATCAGGTGCTGTTACGTGTCATCTTTCCTGTTAAAATGTTTATCTGTTGGTACATGGAATGTGAGTCTTTCCTATGATTTTCCCCAACCTCTGTACAAATCTGACTCAGCCAGGCTTCTTTAGCCATTTTGCATTTGTCACTATTTCTTGTTGTATTCTAGAGTATTCATTCCTCTTTATAATTCTTTTTCTTTATTCTTTCATCCATCAACTGCAGAATTTCGGTTGACATCCATTTCTTTTTTTCAACTCTATGGGTTGGTGGGATTGTCTCTTTTGATGTCTGCTGAATTGACTCATGCAACATATCCCACTTTTCATCAATAGTCTCTATAATTCCAATTGCATTCTACCGAAAAATGAAATATTTAACTAAAAAACAAAAAGAGGATACTAAAAGGTATATTAGATAACAAAAAGAAATAGACACAAAAACCTAAATTGTCTTATTTATCAACTGCAGCAATTAATGACTCACTCCCACATGTTGCCCAGGAAAGCTGCATACTTTTCATAACTGTTATATTTATTTGTTTGCTGATGTAATGAAGGGTAGAGAACAGACAAAGATAGACAATTTGGTCCTCCAGGTTGGGGGTTGAAGCGCAGGGCCGACACTCCCACCTTAGTAAATTGTTATCTCGTCATGAAACACATATCTAAGCCTCGATTTCAGTTGGTTTTAAACGGGATGAAGCCTTATTACAGATTTTCAAAAACAGAGTCTTACGACAAATAATTGGACCCATGAAAGATGCAAACAGTGGGGAATGGAGAGTGAGAAGCAACTACAAAATTCACATAATCTGTTTAAATCACAACTGATCACTGGCTTCATGAGAGCTAATAGACTGAAATGGTTGGGGCATACTGAAAGAATGTCAGATGACAGAGAAGTAAAAACTGTATACACCAGGGAGATGAATGGTCGTAGACCATGAGGCAGACCAAGAAAACAATGGAGAGATGATAATATCTAGACAAACACTTAGTGTCACCAACTAGAAAGAGAGGGCCAACCAGAGAGATGAATGGAGGCGGGTGATATCTGCAGCAATGAACCTCAAGGGCTCAGAATGCTGAAAAAGAAGAAGAAGATGTAATCCCAAGCTTTTAATACTTTTTACCTCTGCACCACTTAGGTCAGTCCTTTTCTGAATTCTCTTACCATCTCCACTGATGCTGATTAAGATACTGAAGTATTTAAAGTGTGTGATATTTTCAACTTCCACTTTGATGACTGTAATTTTTAACTGAGTATATGGACATTACTTAAACATACTGTGCCCCCCCCCCCCCCAAAAAAAACCCCAAAACCTACAAAAAACAACCCCCCCCCCCCCAAAAAAAAAACAAAACTGACCTAGCATGATATTCAGATGTTTGAAAAAAGTAGTTTTATCCACCAGGCCAAACGGCTCGGCAGACAAACCACTGATTTACCTGCAACTGATAGATCCTTAAATGCTGTCACAGAACGGACCCCCTGGAGAGAGGAGTATAAGTTTCCAATACACATCAAGACTGAAGTGAAAGGGGTATTTGACAAGGAAGAACAAAACAGTGTGCAGCGCAAAACAGCCACCCTCAGTCTACTTGATGATGAATACCCGAAGAACCTTTGGGTCCGTGTTTACACAGATGGGTCAGCAGAAAGCGCAGTCAGAAACGGAGGTGCAGGAGTGTACATTGAGTATCCTAATAATACCAGGGATACAGCCAAATTACCAACGGGAAAGCACTGTCACAACTATGATGCAGAAGTTCAAGCCATCAAGATAGCGGTAGAGAAACTACTAAATATAGGGTATTTTTCACAACCAGTGGTATTCCTGACAGATGCAAAAGCAGTACTTCAGTCACTCCAGTCTGGAAAATTACCAAGCATACAGACACTATTATCCGAACTAGGCAACCGCTGTAAATTAGTAATGCAATGGATACCTTCCCACTGTGGAGTTCCCGGAAACGAAAAAGCTGATAAACTAGCTAAGGAAGGTGCAACTGAAGAACAACCTGACATACCAGTCTCTTATCAACAGAAGAAGAGAATGATCAAATCAATCAGAATGCCACCGAAACTGGCACAAGATGATTACCATATTATGGACAGACCAGAGCAAGTCATTATCCTTCGCCTTAGAACAGGGCACAATCGACTTCGCTCCCACATGTACAACAAATTTAAGATTGGCCAATCAGCCATGTGTACTTGTGGACTGGCACCTGAAACAACAGATCACATCCTTCAAGACTGTCCCAGATTCAACGCTTTCAGGCAAAACCTTTGGCCAAAAGAGACACTTGTGGAAGTCAAACTATACGGGCCGCTTAGTGAATTACAAAAGACAGTGAAATTCATACTAGAGACAGCTTTGCAGATATAGACAATTTATTTCTTGCGAACGAAAGAAGAAGAAGAAGATGTTTGAAATATAAGCCCTTCCCCAAAATATAAGCCCTTCCCCAAAATATAAGCCATTCTCTAAAAAATAAACCCTAGGTAAGATGGTCAGTCAGATGGATCAATATTGTTCGTTCCTTGAAATACTGATTGTACTAAACAAACAGATGTCTAGTGGGTTGTTGTTGGCATCTATGGCTTAGGCGTTATGGACGAGCTTCGTAATGCCGGGTTCGATCCTAGCTGCGGACCTTGCGCCCTGCATTAGTTTCGACAGTGGTATCGAGAGGCCGACCATCCAGAAAGCAATGACAAACAACTGTATGAAAATATGTCTAGAAAAACCACAACAGCCAAAAAATGCTAGGGTTGGTTTTGCAACGTTCTGTAAATGATAGGAAACAAACTTTATAGTGTGTTGACACACACATACATACACACATTCACACACATGTATACATTTAATTAGGGCACTTTTCCACACCTTCTGGCGCACTGGGTATATTGTGTTAGATCTATATTTTATAGACCAACTGACACTTGGTGGGTAATTGGGTCAGCATCACATAGGTCACCTTTACTTCCCAGGACTTTAACTGGTACCTATTTAAGGCTGAACTGACCTGATAGCCAAGGAATTTTCAAAGGAAAAAACAACTCCAGTTGAGTTATGATCTGAATACACGACTTTTGGATTTGAAGGCGAGCATCTAGCCACTAAACCATGAAAGCTCCCATACACACAACTCAGCAACACAAATATGTCACAAGTATGCCATAAATATGCCACAGACATGTCCCGAATATGTCACAGACATGTCACGAATGTGTCACAGACATGTCATGAATATGTCACAAAAATATCACAGACATGTCATAAATATGTCACAAAAATATCACAGATTTGTCATGAATATGTCACAAAAATATCACAGACATGTCATGAATATGTCACAAAAATATCACAGACATGTCACGAATATGTCACAAAAATATCACAGGTATGTCATGAATATGTCACAGACATGCCATAAATATGTCACAAAAATATCACGGATATGTCATGAATATGTCACAAACAAAACCTTGAACTGCAAGATGTCCTCGCCGTCCAGAAAGAGAGCCATCTGTTTCCAATCAAAGGAAGCCTGCTTCCTGTAGACGTCCAGAGGACCAGGACGGAAGTCTCTCAGAAACGGAAGGGTGCTGGTTCCATTCTTGACTTGGAAGTTGATATTAACGGCAGCAACTGCATCATCTTTTGACTGTGAGGTCATGCTGTGAGGTCAGTGATCTGTGCTGAATCAAACAAGTAGTAGAAATTCAGTCAGTTTTTATTTACGTGAGAAACTGTTAGTGCAATGGCTACATACGTGTCTGTCAGCCAGAAAGTCATGGGTTTCTTCTTAATCTCTACATGTGGGCCAGGGACAAAATCTGGAGTTCCTGAATGCCACCTTTCACATATGTGAAGCATTCTACTGCACGAGCCGAAATGTCATTTATGCCGTCAACCGCAAGTGATGTCACACGAAATACATCATCAAAATGGGTCTATGTCTGGGTGACAGGTTCAGATAACATCTTTTGGATGTGCAGAATGGTGCCCTAAAACCAGACCGTTGCACTTCAATTCTCAGGATCACCAAGGTGACCGCGACACGGCGGTGACGGCCATTATATCGCTAGCGTAGTTGGCTAAACCGGACTGCGCGGTGACCGGGTGACGAACTCCTTGTGGTCCGGGTCCATGCCCGGGGGTAGGCAGAAAAGCCACATTTCTCCCATATTTACGGTATTTATAATGGAATCAAGGCCAAAGGGTTGTGATATCCATAATACCGAGCCTAAGGGTTAACAACTCATGGCTTCTGGATACTAAAAAAAAAAAATCTCTAAAGAAGCTATAATTTGGGCACCTATAATGGCTAGACGAGTCAGGAATAAACTTGAGTCAAACGCCAGTAAGGATGGCGTGAAGAACAAGAAGAACAATTATATCTCCCACGACATTCCAAACGGCAAAACAGGAAGTGATTATTGGGGATCATCATCATCACAGCACTCCAGACAGGTCCATAGCTGCTCTGATGTCGTCCTCAAAATCTCCACAAGTGCAACCCAACAAATGACAATGGCTCTGAGCTGATTAATGAAACCTCTTGTATCTTTGATGAAACGGTGAACAGAGAAAGTAAAGAAGAAGATTATAAATACACAGCTTAGGCGCCTTAGGCATACAAAGAAGACGCCCACATTTTCCTTTGCTTCAGCAAATGATTCTGTCATCTACACAGTACACAGGATAGTTAACCTTTCCGTCGAAGATTAAACTGAGTATTAACACGAAGATATCGAGAAAAAACCCATCTGAGTACGATACCAGTACTAAATATTAAAATATACTTAAGTAATTACGAAGAAATAAATGAAATATTGTTAATAATTATTATATAATACTCAATACTAACTCAATTTTGCGGAATATAATAATCAAATTAAAACACCAGGGGTTTATTCAGGAAGAATACTGCCTTACCTGAAACGATCTGTGATATGGTTTAGAGATCCGGGAGGCGGTATTCAATGAAAAGGCGACAAACAAACAACCACTAGTCGTCTGCAGGGTCCATTGTTTGATTGTTTGGGCCCAGGAGTCAAAGTCCCCGTCTGTTTGCTGCCTTCAACCAGAGTTATCTTCAGAGTCGCTAGAGTTATGTCCCATCAAGTGGGCGTCGCCGAGGACAATAACATTGATTACGTTTAATTTTAAGATAATAAAGAAAAGAGATTCCACTATATTGCACATGGTTCGATCCTATTTAGCCTGGCCTCTCCACTGACTGCTAGCCCCTCTATCGAGGACGCACAGAATACGAACACCTTAGCTCCCGGCGACGATCTCCAGAGGGCTTCGTAAAAACTGTACTAGTGAGCTGAAAGACGAAGAGAATTAATTGACTACAATTCTCGAACTACGGCCGGTTTCATTTTCTAAAGCCCAGCTACGTCTGGAACTTCGGGTGACGCCATGGTGTAGCAAATAGACGCTCTCTGACGGACTGGAAGGTCGTAGGTTCAGGTGTGACGGAACCTGACTTTCTTCGTGTGCAAACATGACCTTGGCTTATTTGGAAAGCGAAGGAGATGGGGTTTTATAGACGAATGATGAAAATACCATAGACAGATAAAAAGAGTAATGAGGATGTCTTGAAAAAAAAATGACTCACAAAGAGAACTGGAAGGTCGTAGGTTCAGGTGTGACGGAACCTGACTTTCTTCGTGTGCAAACATGACCTTGGCTTATTTGGAAAGCGAAGGAGATGGGGTTTTATAGACGAATGATGAAAATACCATAGACAGATAAAAAGAGTAATGAGGATGTCTTGAAAAAAACTGACTCATAAAGAGAACTGATCGAACACATTATTGGTCATGTGATAAGAAGGAGAAAACTGGAGCACATCGTGATGGCAGTGAAGCTGTAGGAGAGGAGAGGCAGAGGGAGACCGAGAAAACAGATGCTGCACGGTTTGACATCATGACGTGGAGGATTATCTATGTCAAAGCTGTTTGAAAGTAAACGAGACAAAAGGTTGTAGACATACATGACTACCAACGCCACACGGCACGGACTTTAAGAAGAAGAAGACCCTGTCTCCAGGTCGACCCAGCCTTAAATGGGTACCCGGTAAAGTTCTGCAAAGTAAAGGCAGCCGGTGTCATGCTGACCACATCAACCACCGAGTGCCAGTTGGTCTATAAAATACAGGTCTAGCCCTGTATGCCAAATTCGCATGAAATCGTCGAAATGATCCTTTTGATTCAGGGAACTTATTAGAGCTGACTAATACTAGAACGCCACAAAAGGAGAAGATGGACAACCAAAGAGATCACAAATGAGGACAATATCTCACTGTCAGAAGACAGTACAACATTCCCCCCGGAAGAAAACCAGCAGACGGGAAGCATTCACAATTACACATTGTAGTATAGCACCCATAAGGCAGGGAGGTGGGCACGAAAAACGGAAACATAGGACCAATATGTGGGACCCAGACATGATCGCTGTTGCTGTTGTTACCGCTGCTGCTACTGCTGCTGCTGCTATTACTGCTGCTATTACTGCTGCTGTTGTTACCGCGACTACTTCTGCTGCTGCTATTACTGCAGCTGCTGCCACTACTGTTGCTGTTGTTACCGCTGCTGCTGCTGCTGCTGCTACTGCTGCTGCTGCTGCTGCTACTACTGCTGCTGTTGTTGTTACCGCGACTACTTTTGCTGCTGCTATTACTGCTGCCACTACTGCTGCTGTTGTTACCACTGCTGCTACTGCTGCTGTTGCTACTACAGTCGAGTCTGGATAAGTAGAAGTCGCAGGGACCTAATAAAATGCTTCCACTTATCATAATTTCTACTTATCCAGACAGCAAACACAACAGAGAAAATTGCCGGGACTAAGCTGGTCATGTCGACTTAACCGAAATTCGACTTATCCGAGTTCGACTTAAGTGGACTCGATTGTACTACTACTGCTGCTGTTGCTAATACTGCTACTTGTACTACTATTACTACTGCCGCTGCTTCTGCTGCTACGACTACTGCCGTTGCTATAATAATAATAATAATAATAAAAATAATAATAATAATAATAATAATAATATAAAAATAATAATAGTAATAATAATAATAATAATAATAAAAATAATAATAATATGCCATAAACAATAAACAAAAAAATCAAAAGATTGCGAAGAAGAATTGCTAATAAACATCCATGTCGCTTCATTTTTACGTTTAAGTGACCAGTCATTCATTTCATCTAGAAATTAAACATGAACTCGTTCAAAAGAACCCCAAAACAAAAAGTTGGCTATTTAACATTTTAAACTGCAGAATAATAAACAACATTAGCCCATGACAATATTACAATTTGTAATGTCTTTGTTTACAAAATTCGCCGAAACTTTTTTAAAATAAGTTTTTCCTTTGTCATGAAAATACAATTGGTATGCCAGATGGCACCGTCAAAGTAAAATCATTTTGATATGATGACTGGCGGCAATGACAACATCATAAATACGATTAAGAAAGGCAATCAATTCTTCGCTGAAAGACATTTTTTTTTACAAGAAAAATGAAACGTTTTGGAGGGAAGACAAAAAGCAGGTTATTTTCTGTTTAGTGACCACATCACACGAGATTTAGGGACATCCTATATTATAGGGGGGTTAGGGTTAGTGTTAGATTATTGGCGATTACTACTAACCCTAACCCCCTATAATATCGAATTTCTATGATGTGGTCTTCTTCTTCTCCTTCTTCCACCTTGTACCTCAGTGAAATGTCGGGTGGGGGTGTAACGTTCGTTATGAGCTCTGCCAAGAGCACTGTTAAGACTGATGTTCATTTCTGTAAGGCTGTTTTTAATGCCATCACTCCATATTTTTCGAGGTCGCTAAACAGAAAATAATAAAAAATCAACATATATGACTTAGTTGAACAGGCAGTTACTTTTAAGACTTTTTGATTTTAAAAAATATCAGTTGTAAATTGATTTATGTGCTTGCCTAATTTAGCTTAGTTGTTACTGCTTTCTCTTTTTGCGGGCACGGCCTTAACTCCAGAGGAAACTTTTGGTTGTTTGTTCACTTTTGATCTTGTTTCAGAACTTGAGTTTTGCATGCATATCCATTTTACAGGTTTGGCTTATTTATATGCAGACTGTAACGTTCCTTGCCTCTCAGGAAGATGTATTGCAACGTCGAAGGAAATACACTTAATTAGTTAAGATATGCCATGCGAGAATATAGGAAATTGAATAGTTTGATAGAATCCTTAACAGGACACACGCTGAGAGTTAGTTGGATTATCTTCACAGCACTCGGAAACATTCACAGGTGTTCAGATTCTCCTCTCAACATATTTATCAGCGACGCGCGGCTAATAGTGCCAGTCCTATGTTGGTTGACAAGACTTCTGTGTGTCCGGTGTGCTTCTCATGCTTGGCTGTGCCGATCATAAGAGTGCATGGGCATTTACAGCTCGCTCTTCAGGCAGAACAGTCAAAAAGCCAACAGTGCCTTCTCAGTAACTATCAGCAGCATGACTGCGTTGACGGCAGCAGGATTCTGCTCCCGACAACTCTTATCAAGCTTCACGACACAGGGGAATGTGAGATTGGTCGCTTTAGACGCTGATATCCATTCCTCACCTGGATGGATATTTGTAGGGCTGCAAACCTGCACGATGTCATCCTCTGCCCTACCCAGCTATG